TGTTCTTCTCTGCCGTCTTCATCAGACTGTCAATGTCTTCCTTGCTCGACACTTTCGTCGTCGTCAAGTCTGAGATCACCATTGACCCATCCTCTCCCTGCCCCTCCTGTCAGCTCCGCCTCCCTCCCTCCTCCTCATCATCATCATGCCTCTCCCCTCGGCTCTCCTCCTCCTCGTCCTCTACCTGTCGGATGTTGAACTGCTTCCCCTCGAGGTCCTTCCGGTTGGGGTCAGCTGGACGTTTCCTCTCTCCCTCTCACCTTGGCGTCGCAGAGGAGGTCGCGGATCGTCTCGTTGTAGATCTCGAGGAAGGAGGCGGCAAGTTCGTACTCCCTGTGAGCGATGAGAGGAGGAGGAGGAGGAGGAGGAGGAGGAGAAAGGGGACAGAGAGGGGGGGAGGGGGAGAGAACAGGAGGAAGATGAGGAGGAACAGTAGCAGGAGGAGGGGGAGCAGTAGAGGGAGATGGGAGTCGGAGCTGAAGGAGAAAGAGGAGGAATAGAAGGAAGAGCAAGGCAGGAGGAGGAGGAGGAGGAGGAGGAAGAGGGAGGAGGAGGAAGAGGGAGGAGGAGGGAGTGTTTGGTACCATCCGTTGTCCTTCATCTCAGCGACGGTCTCGAGGATCTGGTTGATCGAGCGAGGAATGATTCCCATCGCCTCCTCCTCCCTCCCTCCCAGCATCGTGAAAGTTTTTCCTGCACCTGTCTGCCCGTACGCGAGCAGACTGAGGGAAGGAGGGTCAGCACAAGATAGGAGGGGAGGGAGGAGAGTGGTAGGAGGGGAGAGGAAGTGGTGGTGGAGGTTGAACAGGACGAGAAGGGAGCAGAACAAGAAGGAGAGAAGAGGGAGACGGAAGGCGAGGAAGAGGAATGAAGAAGAGGAGGAGGGAGGAGGAGCTTCTACCTGACGTTGTAGCCATCGAGAGCGCTTTGCACAAAGTCCTTCACCTCCTCGAAGATGTCCAGCTGGGTCCTTGTCTGCCGAGAGATCAGCCTGCTGGGCTCGAGCTGGGCTCGAGCTCTCACCTGGCCGAAGCAGCGATCGAAGCGAAAGTCGTTGTCGACCCCATTGTAGGGCAGCATGACCTTGCCAGCGTCCTCGTCCACAGACAGGCAGCTCTTCGCTTCCTCCTCCTTCTACACGGGCCCTCAGTGTCTCTTCCTTTCCTTCCCTCCTTGCCCACGTCTCTCCACGTCCTCGTCCTCCCCTCGCCCTCCCTCTTACCTCCTTCGAGCTCGCAGGTCGGATTCTGCAGAAAGTTCGAATGTTTCCCTTGACCTCCTGCCCAGAATCGTCAGCCTCCTCCTCCTCCTCCTCCTGCTCCTGCTCCTCTTCACCTGCAGCTCGTTGTGGATTTTTCTCCTCGACGCCTCGGCTGCCGCCAACTTTCTCTTTAGCTCGGCGATTTCTCGTTTCAGCGCCTCCACCAGCGCCTTCTCATACGCCAGCTCCGCCTCCGTTCCCTGCCTCTCCGACTGTTCCTGCTGCTCCCGAACTTCAGCTCCTTCACCACCACCTCCTCCTCTTCTCTCTCCTTCTGCTGACCCTCCTTCTCTCCTTCACCTTCTCCTCCTCCTTCTAGTTTTATTTCTCCTCTACCTGCCTCCTCACAACAACTGCAACTACAACCATTGTTGTGCCGCAGTCTTCTCCTCCCCCCTCACCCCTTCTCCGCTCTTCTTCCCCCCTCCCCTCCCCCCCTTCTCCGCTCTTCCCCACCCGCCCCCCCCCTCACCTTGTGCACCATCACGCTCTCCGTCTGTCGCTTGAAGAATTCCTCGATCTGCGCCGGCAGGTTCGCGTGCTCCTTGTACACGCTGAACTCCGCCTGCCGCACACCGTCAGCCAGCTACTCTCCAGCTCGACTCCAGCTGAGCGCAACCTGAATCTTCGCCGCCTGCTCGGCTGTGTCGACCTTGGCCTGGATGAGCTCCTGCACCTCGTCAGAGACCAAGTAGAGAGAGATGAGGAGGAGGAGGAGGAGGAGGAGAAGGAGGAGGAGGAGGAGGAGGAGGAGGAGGAGGGGGAGGGGGAAAGGGGAGGGAGGAGGGAGGAGGGAGGAGGAGCTGATTTCCACCTGCAGCTGCTGACGGAGGCTCGCAACCTCGGCCATCTTGTCCGCCAGGTCGTTGGAGATCCTCTTCAGCTCAGAGTCCTGCTGGGGATGTCAGCGGGAAGAGGAGCCGCAAACTTCTGCCTTGAGCCGAAGGTCCAACGTGGACTGGCTGCTCTCTTCCTTGGACTTGCTGAGCTCGCTCTGCAGCTGCTCCAAGTCGACCTTGAGCTTCGCAAGCTCTTCATGCGCCGAGTCGCGCTCCTGCACCAGCCCGATCAGCCGGCGGGCGCACGTCATCCCTCGCATCCCTTCCGTCCTCTTCCTTAAGCTGCAGCTTCTCCAGCTCAATACTTTCCCTCTCCCCTTCTGCGCTCCTCCTCGCTCCTCTTGTTCCTCCCTCCTCTTCTTGCCCTTGCTCTTCTCCTCCCTCCTCCATCTTGTCCTCCTCCCTCTCCTCCTCTTCTTCTTCCTCCCCCTCACCTCTGTGAGCTCCTTGATGCGCGTGTTCTGGAGCTCCTGCCCCATCGCGAGGCTCTTCATCGCGTCGTTGTGCTGCTGCTCCCTCGCGTCCATCCTCGCTTGCATGTCCTCCAGCTTGCTCGCGCTGCTCTGCTTCTCGAGCTCCAGCTTCTCGATCTTCTCCTGCCGCTCCTTCTTCTCTCCCTCCAGCCTCTCCAGCTCGCTCCTCGACGCCTTGTGGTTCTCTTCAAGGACCGCAAACTTCGTCTTCAGCTCCGTCAGCTGCTCCTGGGCAGCCGTGTGCTTGCTCCGCGCCTCGTGGGCCGCCACCATCTCCTGCCCGAGCTTCTCCCGCAGCTCGTTCAGCTCCTTGTCATGAGCGACCTGCTTCTTCTCCACCGCCTCGCTCAGCTCGCTGGCCTCCTTCTTCGCGCCCTCTGCCTCCTTCCTGCTGCTCTCCAGCTCGCTCTTAAGCACCGCTGCCTCAGCCCGGGCGATGTCTCGCTCATCCATAACCTGTCGCTTCTCAAGCATCTCAGACGCTCTCTCCTTCTCCATGCTGGCGATCCTCTCCTCCTTCCCCTTCACCTCCTCCTGCAGCGCCTTGTACGCCTCCTCCTGCTCCTTCAGCTTCTCGTTGAGGGAGGAGATCTGAGCGTCCAGCTCTTCCGTCTTCTGCTTCAGCTCGTCGATCTTCGAGCTCTTCTCCAGGTTGTCCCGGGCAAACCTTCGGATCATGGCCTCGCGCTTGTCCAGCAGGTCCTGGAGGGCCTCCCGCAGCTTCAGGATCAGCGACTTCTGCTCTGCCATCCTCTGCTTCTGGTCGTTGAGCGTCTTCCCAGCTGCTGAGATCTTGATCTTCAGGATCTCTTCGTAGTTGATCTCGCTCGCTCGCAGCTCCTTGATCAAGTCAGGGTCTCCGATTATCGGCTCCTCCACCAGATCCTCTTGTTTCAACTCCCCAGACGTCCTCTTGCTCTCGAGGATGTTGGCGGCGGGCTGCGGAGCCTTCAACTTTGACTTGGTGGTGTCAACGTTTCCCTTGGAGTTCTCCTTGTCACTCGTATGACTCTCCTTGTTCTGAGATCTATCGAGCATCCGCCCTGATCTGCTCAACGACAATGACATGACTGCAATCCACGCGGAGACTTTGCCCTGAAAATCAGCTCTTTGTCAGATATCTGCAGTCTTGATCGTACCACTTTGCAATTCAAAATGTCTGTATGATCATGGAGACATTCTATTCATTGTAAATCTCTACTCATCCTTGTAGAATGTTTTCTCCTACTGTTCATTTCGCATGTCTGTTCTATCCTATCCTTCATGTCTCCACTCCTTGTATACGGCCTTACCTCTCCTCTGCCACATACTCCCTCCTTACTCCCTTACTCCTCCTCCCTTCATCCTCCTCCTCTCCCTCCCTCTCCCTCCCTCTCCCTCCCTCTCCCTCTCTCCCTCTCGGTCGGATCGCCATTGCGCATGTGAAGGCGTGTAAGAATTAAAACGGTGGGGGCCTTTTCCAGGGGGTAGGGGGTCCGAAAAGTGTCCTATGTACCCCAGAGATGAGGGTCAATGAACCGGGTACTTGTTATCATTAACGAATATATGGTGGTCCCGGGATGGTAGGGTTCTCCTTCAAACGGAATTTCTTTTTTTGAATTTTTGGCACCGTCAGTGGGTGCGAGGGGGATGAGTGGGGAATTGCATCACCACGCCCGCGGCCCGGCCCCGGGCCCGGCCGCCGCCCCGGGTGACCGTCGGACGCCGCACCGTGCAGGCTGCGGTAGTACCGGGGTGACTCAGTGACGAACTTCGCCGGAGTAGGAAGAGGAGGCTTCCTAGCTGTCTTGCTAAGGTCCTCTCCGGATGCCAGTGCTTGGAATTCACATCCGATCCTAGCATACAGTCTATCTCTCATGTGCTCCTCAATTCTGCGGGTCGAGTCGTGTGCATTAAACTCGGTCTTGACGAGTCAACCGTCATTGTCACATTGTGATACTCCGGGCGTACTAGCCTAGTCGGAAGGCTATGCTAGTTGCGATGCTGCGGCAAGGCTTCGGCGGCTAAGTTACTAAGATACTAATATCACCCCGTGTCAGTGGCCCTCGGTTCCCGGAGTCCAGCAGCGGCCTCCCCGCTCTGGCGGTAAAGCAGTCCGCGGTCACCGGCCCGGGTCACCGGGTGACCACGGCGGGGGCTCGGTCAGTATACGATAGTACCGTCTGAGGTGTAGTAGAGTGATGAAGGGGCTTAGGGAGTCGTTTGTTTGCCATTCATTACACTACTATTACTATTAACACATAGACCTGAACCCGGGCCGTCACCTCCCAGCTGGGGAGAAGCTGGAAGAAGTCTCAGACTCTGCCGTGTCCATGGTGACCGTACCGATGCTCATCTGCGACATGCCGGCTGGAACCATCTCGCTCGCCTCACTATGTCGCCTTGGGGAGGCCCCCGGCTGCGAGAGCGTCGCGACCGACAGGTCACCTTCCCACTCGTTGCTCTCCGACTCGCTGTCCAGATCCATGTCGTCGACGTCCATGCGAGAGCTCGCGGCATCCTCGCTTCTTGCCTTGGATGCCTCGCCGAAGAAGGGGCCCAGCAGGCGAGACTCGATGTCAAACTTGGAGATCCTTTGCTGCTGCTGCTGCTGCTGCTGCTGCTGGGAACGGAGAGGAGACATGAATGGATGAGGGTAAAACGCCTCTTCCGCACTCGACAAGCCTCGTGCTTCCTCCATGGCCAGCTGCTGCTCCAGCTCTTTCACCCTCTCCGAGATGTTCTTCAGTCTGCCGCCACCAGGCGTCCGCGGCTGCATCTGCTCCTCCACGGCCGACCTCTCCCTCCCAGCAGGAGCTGTCACAGCCCTCGACGTAACTTGGGGAGACTCAACGCCCTGCCCCTGACCCGCTGGCGTGTTCTCCGGCGCTCGTCGTCCTGGTCTCATGGGCGTGTGGATCCAGCTGTCGTCCGCCCGCCGCTCCGCGACTGCATGTGCTCTAGAGACAGGAGCGAGCGACACGTACACGGCTCCGAACCCGAGGGTGGCGACGCTCTCGTCGTCAAGGTCCAACTCTGTGCCCAGCTGCCCTCCCCCATCGGCGAATCTCAGCGTGTCCACCGTAGCAGCCGTCTGGAGAGCATCCTCCGAGGCCGAGAGGGTACGGGGCTGAGCATACTGCATCTGCTCGCCTATCGAGTGCTCTTCGTACCCCCCGTCAGACTCGGAGTCCGAGTCCGACTCCAGCGGTGCCTGTGGCCCGATAGCAGCAGCGGCGGCTCGAGCGTTGCCGAGCGAGCCCTTGACGGAGCTGCCGAAGAGATTCTCAAGGTTGCGATGGTCCTGCAGCCATGGCAGCGGCTGCTCGTCCGGCCTTGAGGGTGCCTGCCTTTCAACCTGGACGCCTCCTGACGCTACTCCCGTCATCTGAGGTAGCTCAACGGATCCTGGAGCTGGAGCTGGAGCTGGAGCTGGAGCTGGAGCTGGAGCTGGAGCTGGAGCTGGAGCAGAGGGTTGTCCTCCGACTGGGAGTGTCTCCCCGATCCCACTTCTTAGGGAGATCCCTGGCCTCGAGACGTTGGTGCGGCTCCTCCTAGAGGCCGGGCGGGCTGGAGTATTCTGTTGACTTCTCGTTGTGCTCCTCTGACTCCGGTGGCTCCTGCTGGGCATGAACAGCTGGCTGCGAGTCTTCTGCCCTGAGTAGGCGGTGGAGTTGAGCGAGGCCAGCGACATCTGGTCGTCAAGGTTCTCGAACCGTTGCTGGAGGCTGCTCTCCGGATCCGAGGCACTGAAGTAGTTCTCGTCCTCCACCTGCTCAGCTTCCGCCTCCTCCTCATCTCCCCCCCTGTTGCTGTGCTGAGCGGTCGAGACTGGCACCCGTGCCGACTCCATCGGCACCGGCTGCTCGTTCACGTACTGCTGGTCCGAGCCGATGGCTACTCCCATCATGCCATAGTCGCTCATCGCCGCATAGCCGCTGCGAGCTGACGTCGGAGCCGCTCCTTCGTTCTGACCTCGGGTCTCGACGGATCCACGGGATACGGAAGAAGCGGCTGCGCTAGGGATCAACATGGCTCGGATCTGTCCTGGACTTGGCACTTTCCATCGTGGGGTCCAGTCATTTGCCCCCTGCTCAGCCGCTCCTGCTTGAGGGGCATTCGAGTCCGTCTCGGAGATCCTGGGGGACTGCGCGTACGACGCCCGGGCTGCCGCTGCCTGCTTCCTTATAAGGTTACTATCGTATCTTGGGCTGAAGTCGTCCCGTTGCACTGATGGGGAGCTGCTGGCGTACTGCATCGGCTGCTGCTCGATATCCATGGTAGAGTTCAGACTGTTCTGCCGGTACATCTCAGAAATCCGAGAGATGCCGAGAAACTGGTTGGGAGACTGCAGGGCCCCGTAGCCCGAGATGTTGTTGAAGGAGTTGACGCGAGGGCTGAGGGGGAAGTTTGACAAGGTGGTTCGGGTGGACATTGACATGGGATCGCGAGGGGTCATCTCTTCTCGCTGCATCGCCATGATCCCTGGAGACAGCTGCATGTTTCCTTCGGGGATACTGATGACACTTTGATTGGCTAGAGCGTCGAGTGCCGACTTGATCATGACCTCGTCGGAGTGCAAAGTTCTCCTGATGGTGACAACTAAACAACAGAAGAGGCAGATCACGCCAAGTCCGATCCCCCCGCTCAGCAGCCCGATGGTCAGAGGCTGCCATGCGCTCGTGGGCGGAGGAGTGGTAACAAGCATGGTGGTGGGCAACGGAGTTGTGGTTGTCACTGTAGTCGTGGGAGTAGGCGTCGGTTCGACGTATCCTATCGCCTGGAAGTCAAGAGCCAGTCCAATCAAAGGGAAGGAACTCGCGAGCTGCCCGGACTTGAACATGTCGAGCAGCAGCAAGAACGATTCAGCAGCGATCTTGTCGTTTTGAGGACTGTTCATGACGATGAAGGAGATGCGAACTGACCCCCTTGTGACATTGAGGATCATGATCTGCTGTAAAGTGGTGACGTCATCTTGAAACTTCAAGAGAGCTCCACATGTTCTCACAAAGTACGATTTCAAATCCTTCATCCTGTCAGGTGCGCTGTAGAACGTGAAGTTTGCATCGAACACCACATTCAGGGGGTAACTCTCTTTCACCAGAACGATCGCTTTGTTGATCGGGTCTGAAGAGCTCTGATCCACCGCAACGGACAGACTGAGTGGGAACGGCAAGTTGACGTTGGGGAATGGAGGGACTTCAATCAAGCAGCTCGTGTGGCTCCCGGATCTCTTGGCATACACCGATGCCATCGATCCAAGTTGGACCAGGAGGTTGCCTTCAGATCCTCCGAAGGAGTTGCCGACAACGGTCAGCAGTCGATTACCAATGACTGACGGCAGGACGATCGAGTCCACAGAGGGCAGGCCATCCGCTAGGTGGGTAACGTTGAACGTCCAGCTGTTGGAGATGAGAGCTTGCACAGAGGGCCTCTCGTAAGAGAACGTTGGCTCCCAGTATCCGAAGCCGAAGGGAGGAGGACCAGTGGAGCTGTCGTAGTAAAACATCGAGATGTCGGAACCCACTCCTTCCGGCATGATGAATGAAATCGTCCCTGTATCTCCATTCCGCGACGACTCAACGAATCTGCCCGTACAGTTCGCGCTGTTAGCGCAGATCTTCTTGTACAGCACAGGCTTCCCAGTCGTTCGCTTCCACATCTGAATCTCTGTCCGATCCGAGATAGAAATCAAGTTCCCCTTGGCCACCACGACGTATCCCCCGCTGGTGGGCCCGTAGTTCGGGCTCAAGTCCTCTAGATGCGGAGCTCGATTGTAAGAGAACTGAGTCACGCCGGTGGAGACTCTCGCACCGATGGAGACGAAGAAGTTTGCTGCTTCCATGGGCTGGCCAGAAGGGACGTGGCATTCAAGTGAGGTTGAGCTTACCCATAAGGTTTTCATGCAATTGGTGCTGCCCACCTTTGCGATGAGCGAATAATCGTTCACTCCGAACTCGTTGCCGAAGATTGTCAGCACGTCGTTTCCATTCGTTGGACTGTTGGTGGGTTGCACTGCTGTCACCCCCCCTAGCGAGTAGTCAAACAGCGATGATTTTGACGCGATCAGTTGTGCGTTTGTGATCGACACTCTAAGAGTCGCTCCGACTCCATTCGCTGGCCTTGCAGACGCTGACGTGTCGCTGCTCCAGCTGGACCTCTCACATGCTGACCCGCCGACACGGACTCTGAGGGTCAGACTGAAAGCGCCATAGTTCACCCCAGCCCCGGAGACGTTGTACTCAGTTCGAGCTTCTTTGATGGTTTGAACTTCGATGAAGTCCAGCGACAGAGAGTCGAACGAGAAGATCCGTATCGAGGTGCCTCGTTGCATGGCAGTAGTCATGACTGTCCTGTGCGCGATCCCTATTCCGTTCGACAGCCTCGAAACCACCTGGCTGTCAGAGGACCACGAGGTAGCGGCGCAGGCGGATTGACCGAGCCTGGCTTCCTCTGAATTGACACTCGTCCCGAAGTTGGTTCCATAGATCGTGAGGGAATTAGGGAGGCTCAGGTCTGCGACAGGGGCTGCGTTTCCAGGCGAGCTGCTGCTGATTCTGGGAAGATCGAACGACCAAGCCAAAGTGAGCGTACCGGAGACAACATAGCAAACACTTGCGACGATGTCTCTGAACGATCCCAAGCCCCTGGGCACCTTACACAACATGCCAGTATCTGACAGCCAAGATGTCGTGATAGGAGCAGACCCCTGCATCTTGGCTCGAAGTGTTGTGTCCCGGGCTCCAAGATTTTGCCCAGTGATGGTTGTTGGGCTGCCTCCTGTGGTTGGGAAGTTAGGCTGCGGAGGAATGGCGCGAGCAAAGAGGTCTTGTCGGTACGATACGACAGAGATCAAAGGGCCATCGAACGATACGATAGCCATCCCTGTGCCGCCTCGCATTGCAATCGTCGCAATTGTCTTGGGTGAAATGCTGCCAATGCCGGTGGGTGGAAATACTGAGATTGACGAGTCACTTTGCCAGCGAGTTTGTTGAGCTGCTGTTTGCAAAGATCGTGTAGACTGAGAGCTCCGACATCTCCCGAAGCTCTGTCCAAAAACGTATAATCCATCCAAGACGTCAAAAGGCTTGGCGTTCGTTCCTTGGTAACTTGCAATCTTCGGAATGTCAAAAGACATCGCCATAGAGACAGAAGCTAGAGTCACAATGGAGCAGACAAGTGACAAAGTAGCGCCAACGCCCGAGGGCTTCAGGCACAAGATGCTGGTCTGTGAGGTCCATCTGCTGTTCTCAACGGAAGTTCCTCTTAACCTTGCCATCGGAGAATTGGAAAATGACGCGAGGTTGGCGCCATTGACCACAAAAAGATCTGAAGGAGCAGCTGGTAAATTCGAATCCTGAATGTGGCTGACTCTGACCAGGTCGTAAGAAACAGCATTTGATAGCGTGTAGAGACTGGAAGCTGACAGGACAATGCTCCTGCTCGCTCCAGACCCTTGAGTCATCATAAGGCTTAGACTGCTCGAGCTAGTCCAAACGGTGACGGGTGCCCTTGTCATCCCCAATCGGGTAACGAGGCTGGAGGATCTCACTGAATTTGGCAAGCTCATCATTACATAAAACATCTTGGCGGGTTGACTGTTGAATCCTGATGAGCGAGTAGCATAAACGTCATATGAGAGACTTTCTGTTTGACTCTTCACCTTGACGGCACTAGTGACCATGACGCTCAGTGAGAATCCAGATCCCGACGAAGTCTGACAATTGACAACTGAGTCAGATATCCATGAACTGGAAGAAGCCGCAGAATATCCGATTCTTGCTCTCCAAGTGATTTGCCTTGCGATATGGCTCCCACCTATGTACAAATATTGATTCACAAGGGGAAAGTTGGAAGATTGAACCAACAAATTCGAATCTGCTGAGAAGGCTTCTGAAATCGAGGCAACGTTGACAGACACAGTCATCGATACAGCATTTGAGCTGTACATCACCGCTGTGGTCCTGCAAGATATGCTGGAAGATGAGTCCCACAGGGTAACTGAAGTAGCTGAATATCCGACCCTCCCCGCCGCTGAGTTGACCCTCACCGACCAATTCCTTGTAACAATCGACAAGGAGTTGCTGGTTGTAATAATCGACAACTTGTCGTAACTGAAAACTTGGCTCAGCGAGGAAAGAACAAGGTTCGAAGTGATTGACAACGAAGCGCTGGATCTATGCCCAGTGGTGAAAAGAGACGAAATGCTAGAACTTGAAACCCAAAGTGTCTGCAACGAGCTCGAGCTTCCAAGTCTCCCAGAGCTACTATAGTCCGATCGAATTCTTGTCGCCGACATCGCCAGCACCATGGTCTGCACGGGCCCGTTCCCTCCCGCTACCGAGCTCGTCAAGCTGCCCGGATCGTAGCTCACCGCTGCGCTCAAGCTCCCTGATACCCGTGCTTGCTCCGCAATGCTCATCCTGACAGCCATGGACCTTCCTGTACCGCTGCTCAGGAGACTTGCTACCGTGCTGTCGGACTGCCAAGCGGTCTTCTCTGCCCTAGACCCGCCGATCGCGCTCGTAGGACTGTACTGCACCAGCCCCATACCTCTCCCAAATAGCGTGATCGAGCCTTGAGCGTCTGCCGACCCTGCCTGTGCGGCTGCTACGTTACCCCTGCTCACAGTGCTCATCAGCCCCGCGTCCATCGATACCAGCTCAGTGTGTGTACCGCCTACCATCCTCCCTACTGACACTACTCCCGACAGGCTCGTCCCGCTCCCGCTGGCTGTCTTGCACGACACCCCTGTGTCGGACCCCCACGTCGTCTGGGTGGCGCTGGTTGCTCCTGCTCTGACCACGACGCTCAGCAGGGCTGTCCCGAAGCCGCTCCCGCTCAGCGTCACTCCCCTGCCCAAAGCCTTCCCAGAGTTTGCCATCGGCCCGTCTGCTGTCGCGGCCTCGTCGTAGCTCATGGCCTCAGTCACGGAGACTGTTCGTGCGGCCATCGTGAGCGCTACTCCCCGGCTGCTGTCCGGGCCGCGTCCGCTCTTGCAGATCACACCCGATGATGACAGCCAGTAGCTCCGCTCACACCCTGTCAAGCCTATTCTTGTGCTAATGCTGAGTCGCAAATTCATTTCGCTTGTCCCGACCAGTATCAATTTGTCGATTTTTGAAATTAAATTTGATGCCTGCCAAATGTTTTCATTTTGTAGCAATTTCAAGTCAGTTGAAAAAACTGATGAAATGGAAGCGATTGATTTCGAAACTGATACGATGACGCTTTGAGAGCCTGACGTAGGGAACTGTTGATTCACACATTTGACAGAAGTGGTCGATGCCCAAATGGTTGATTTGCAAACAGTTGAATGTATTCTTGTTGATACACTGACAAAAAAACTGGAAAATACTGAACTGAAAACTGAAATTTCCGTTGGTACGAACGGAACAGAGTTGCCAGGAAAAACACTTGAAACAACTGCACGCTCAAAGCTGAAACAATTCGATATTGAGTACAAAGAAACAGCAACGGAAACAACCGCTTTGATGGCTGTCCGGGCCGCGTCCGCTCTTGCAGATCACACCCGATGATGACAGCCAGTAGCTCCGCTCACACCCGGTCGACCCCACCCTCGCCTGCCCTGTCCAAGCCCAGCCTTGCTGCCCTGCTACGCTCGCTAGCACTACCTCTCCTCCCCGGCTCGCAAGGTTAGCCCGCCCCTTCCAGCTCCAGCTCGCCTCGCCCCCTACGCTGTCGTAGCTCAGCACGGCGGTCCCTGTGCTTGCTCGCCCCGCGCTGGTGATGATCATCCCATGGCTCCCCCCCGACCCCTCGCGGATCTTGCACACGATGCTGGTGGATGATGTCCACAAGCTTGATGCCGCGCTAGACCCGCCTGCTCTGACTTGCCCAGTCATTCCGTACGGCCCGAACTCCTTCCCAACTATGGTCGCTACGCCTGCTTGTCCCCGGGGTGCGTTGACCTGGTTGAGCAGCCCTTGTACAGAGCCAGCGTCGAAGCTCAGAGCTTCCGAGATGCTCCCCTGCCCTCTTGACCTCCCCAGCGTCATCACCACCTTGCTGCTGCCCCCCAGCCCGCTCGTCAGCCCTGCCCGGATGCATGTGATGCTCGTGTCTGCTACCCATTGCGTAGCCCCGCAGCTGGTCCCTCCAGCTCGTGCGCCTGGGCATACTGACTCCTTGCCCAGCATCGCTCCTACCAGCGTGACTGCGCTCCCGGACACTCTGGTGTTCGCCCCCATGAACGTAGACACCACGGCGGCTTCTAGCGACACCGACTCCGTCAATGAGCCTACCGACCCCCGGATCGTCAACGCAATCGAGCTCGACCCCGAGCTCTCGGCCCTCAGGCTGCTGCAGACTATCGAGCTGTCTGACTTCCACGCCGTCTGGGCTGCCCTGGTCCCTCCCACTCGTCCGCTTGGGGTGACCGACTGCAGGCCGTAGCCCATCCCGGATAGCTCGATGTACCTTGACCCGTCCAGCATGCGGCTGTTGGCTCCTGGGGATGTCGAGACGGAAGGCATGTCGTAGCTTGACGTCTCCGTCGTGCTGCCTCCGAGTAGGCTGGACGTCATAGATATCGGGAGCGTCGCTCCCGTGCCACTCGCTACCTTGCACAGCAGCATCGTTCCTGAGGACCACACCGTCGCTGTGCTGGACGTCTTGCCTAGGCGTAGCGTTGACGATAGCATGCCGGGTAGTACACTGGTGCCGGCGATCGTAGTGAGACGGGTGGACGACGACGGGAAGTTGCTCACGCTCTCTGCGGACAAGCTCATTCCTGTGCTGTCGTATGACATGACCTCAGTGGCGCTCCCGACTACCACGCCAATGGTAGACTGCAAGCTGCTGCTCCCTCGCACGCCTGCAGCAAGCTTGCTTGCTATCGAGCTCGACGAGATCCATAATGTAAGACTGCTCGCTGTACCAGACATCCTTGCCCGAGCCGTGTGTCCCAGGGTTCTTGACAGCCCGACTAGGATTGCTACTGCCCCCCCAAGACCGAGATTACCGGCTTTGGCTGTGCTGACTAGCTGCACGTCGTAGCTGGAGCTCTCTGTCTGACTGCTGACGCCTCTAGCAACACTAACCTGGAGTACGTTCGATCCTCCCATGCCTGCAGACGTCGCACACTGCAGCGAGGTAGATGATTGCCAGAAGCTTGCTCTAGACGCTGTTGCCTGCATGCGTACAGCATTGGTATACTCTACGTACCGCCCTGTCCCTGACATCGCCAGCACCATGGTCTGCACGGGCCCGTTCCCTCCCGCTACCGAGCTCGTCAAGCTGCCCGGATCGTAGCTCACCGCTGCGCTCAAGCTCCCTGATACCCGTGCTTGCTCCGCAATGCTCATCCTGACAGCCATGGACCTTCCTGTACCGCTGCTCAGGAGACTTGCTACCGTGCTGTCGGACTGCCAAGCGGTCTTCTCTGCCCTAGACCCGCCGATCGCGCTCGTAGGACTGTACTGCACCAGCCCCATACCTCTCCCAAATAGCGTGATCGAGCCTTGAGCGTCTGCCGACCCTGCCTGTGCGGCTGCTACGTTACCCCTGCTCACAGTGCTCATCAGCCCCGCGTCCATCGATACCAGCTCAGTGTGTGTACCGCCTACCATCCTCCCTACTGACACTACTCCCGACAGGCTCGTCCCGCTCCCGCTGGCTGTCTTGCACGACACCCCTGTGTCGGACCCCCACGTCGTCTGGGTGGCGCTGGTTGCTCCTGCTCTGACCACGACGCTCAGCAGGGCTGTCCCGAAGCCGCTCCCGCTCAGCGTCACTCCCCTGCCCAAAGCCTTCCCAGAGTTTGCCATCGGCCCGTCTGCTGTCGCGGCCTCGTCGTAGCTCATGGCCTCAGTCACGGAGACTGTTCGTGCGGCCATCGTGAGCGCTACTCCCCGGCTGCTGTCCGGGCCGCGTCCGCTCTTGCAGATCACACCCGATGATGACAGCCAGTAGCTCCGCTCACACCCTGTCAAGCCCACCCTCGCCTGCCCTGTCCAAGCCCAGCCTTGCTGCCCTGCTACGCTCGCTAGCACTACCTCTCCTCCCCGGCTCGCAAGGTTAGCCCGCCCCTTCCAGCTCCAGCTCGCCTCGCCCCCTACGCTGTCGTAGCTCAGCACGGCGGTCCCTGTGCTTGCTCGCCCCGCGCTGGTGATGATCATCCCATGGCTCCCCCCCGACCCCTCGCGGATCTTGCACACGATGCTGGTGGATGATGTCCACAAGCTTGATGCCGCGCTAGACCCGCCTGCTCTGACTTGCCCAGTCATTCCGTACGGCCCGAACTCCTTCCCAACTATGGTCGCTACGCCTGCTTGTCCCCGGGGTGCGTTGACCTGGTTGAGCAGCCCTTGTACAGAGCCAGCGTCGAAGCTCAGAGCTTCCGAGATGCTCCCCTGCCCTCTTGACCTCCCCAGCGTCATCACCACCTTGCTGCTGCCCCCCAGCCCGCTCGTCAGCCCTGCCCGGATGCATGTGATGCTCGTGTCTGCTACCCATTGCGTAGCCCCGCAGCTGGTCCCTCCAGCTCGTGCGCCTGGGCATACTGACTCCTTGCCCAGCATCGCTCCTACAAGCGTGACTGCGCTCCCGGACACTCTGGTGTTCGCCCCCATGAACGTAGACACCACGGCGGCTTCTAGCGACACCGACTCCGTCAATGAGCCTACCGACCCCCGGATCGTCAACGCAATCGAGCTCGACCCCGAGCTCTCGGCCCTCAGGCTGCTGCAGACTATCGAGCTGTCTGACTTCCACGCCGTCTGGGCTGCCCTGGTCACTCCCACTCGTCCGCTTGGGGTGACCGACTGCAGGCCGTAGCCCGTCCCGGATAGCTCGATGTACCTTGACCCGTCCAGCATGCGGCTGTTGGCTCCTGGGGATGTCGAGACGGAAGGCATGTCGTAGCTTGACGTCTCCGTCGTGCTGCCTCCGAGTAGGCTGGACGTCATAGATATCGGGAGCGTCGCTCCCGTGCCACTCGCTACCTTGCACAGCAGCATCGTTCCTGAGGACCACACCGTCGCTGTGCTGGACGTCTTGCCTAGGCGTAGCGTTGACGATAGCATGCCGGGTAGTACACTGGTGCCGGCGATCGTAGTGAGACGGGTGGACGACGACGGGAAGTTGCTCACGCTCTCTGCGGACAAGCTCATTCCTGTGCTGTCGTATGACATGACCTCAGTGGCGCTCCCGACTACCACGCCAATGGTAGACTGCAAGCTGCTGCTCCCTCGCACGCCTGCAGCAAGCTTGCTTGCTATCGAGCTCGACGAGATCCATAATGTAAGACTGCTCGCTGTACCAGACATCCTTGCCCGAGCCGTGTGTCCCAGGGTTCTTGACAGCCCGACTAGGATTGCTACTGCCCCCCCAAGACCGAGATTACCGGCTTTGGCTGTGCTGACTAGCTGCACGTCGTAGCTGGAGCTCTCTGTCTGACTGCTGACGCCTCTAGCAACACTAACCTGGAGTACGTTCGATCCTCCCATGCCTGCAGACGTCGCACACTGCAGCGAGGTAGATGATTGCCAGAAGCTTGCTCTAGACGCTGTTGCCTGCATGCGTACAGCATTGGTATACTCTACGTACCGCCCTGTCCCTGACATCGCCAGCACCATGGTCTGCACGGGCCCGTTCCCTCCCGCTACCGAGCTCGTCAAGCTGCCCGGATCGTAGCTCACCGCTGCGCTCAAGCTCCCTGATACCCGTGCTTGCTCCGCAATGCTCATCCTGACAGCCATGGACCTTCCTGTACCGCTGCTCAGGAGACTTGCTACCGTGCTGTCGGACTGCCAAGCGGTCTTCTCTGCCCTAGACCCGCCGATCGCGCTCGTAGGACTGTACTGCACCAGCCCCATACCTCTCCCAAATAGCGTGATCGAGCCTTGAGCGTCTGCCGACCCTGCCTGTGCGGCTGCTACGTTACCCCTGCTCACAGTGCTCATCAGCCCCGCGTCCATCGATACCAGCTCAGTGTGTGTACCGCCTACCATCCTCCCTACTGACACTACTCCCGACAGGCTCGTCCCGCTCCCGCTGGCTGTCTTGCACGACACCCCTGTGTCGGACCCCCACGTCGTCTGGGTGGCGCTGGTTGCTCCTGCTCTGACCACGACGCTCAGCAGGGCTGTCCCGAAGCCGCTCCCGCTCAGCGTCACTCCCCTGCCCAAAGCCTTCCCAGAGTTTGCCATCGGCCCGTCTGCTGTCGCGGCCTCGTCGTAGCTCATGGCCTCAGTCACGGAGACTGTTCGTGCGGCCATCGTGAGCGCTACTCCCCGGCTGCTGTCCGGGCCGCGTCCGCTCTTGCAGATCACACCCGATGATGACAGCCAGTAGCTCCGCTCACACCCGGTCGACCCCACCCTCGCCTGCCCTGTCCAAGCCCAGCCTTGCTGCCCTGCTACGCTCGCTAGCACTACCTCTCCTCCCCGGCTCGCAAGGTTAGCCCGCCCCTTCCAGCTCCAGCTCGCCTCGCCCCCTACGCTGTCGTAGCTCAGCACGGCGGTCCCCGTGCTTGCTCGCCCCGCGCTGGTGATGATCATCCCATGGCTCCCCCCCGACCCCTCGCGGATCTTGCACACGATGCTGGTGGATGATGTCCACAAGCTTGATGCCGCGCTAGACCCGCCTGCTCTGACTTGCCCGGTCATTCCGTACGGCCCGAACTCCTTCCCAACTATGGTCGCTACGCCTGCTTGTCCCCGGGGTGCGTTGACCTGGTTGAGCAGCCCTTGTACAGAGCCAGCGTCGAAGCTCAGAGCTTCCGAGATGCTCCCCTGCCCTCTTGACCTCCCCAGCGTCATCACCACCTTGCTGCTGCCCCCCAGCCCGCTCGTCAGCCCTGCCCGGATGCATGTGATGCTCGTGTCTGCTACCCATTGCGTAGCCCCGCAGCTGGTCCCTCCAGCTCGTGCGCCTGGGCATACTGACTCCTTGCCCAGCATCGCTCCTACAAGCGTGACTGCGCTCCCGGACACTCTGGTGTTCGCCCCCATGAACGTAGACACCACGGCGGCTTCTAGCGACACCGACTCCGTCAATGAGCCTACCGACCCCCGGATCGTCAACGCAATCGAGCTCGACCCCGAGCTCTCGGCCCTCAGGCTGCTGCAGACTACTGAGCTGTCTGACTTCCACGCCGTCTGGGCTGCCCTGGTCACTCCCACTCGTCCGCTTGGGGTGACCGACTGCAGGCCGTAGCCCATCCCGGATAGCTCGATGTACCTTGACCCGTCCAGCATGCGGCTGTTGGCTCCTGGGGATGTCGAGACGGAGGGCATGTTGTAGCTTGTCATTTGTGATGCGGTGCTTGTTGTTACATGGGTCACAGCTAGGGATATGCTTGCTTTGCTGTGTTTTGTGACTTTAGCTTTCAAACTTGTGAGAGACGTCCACTCAGTTGCCTCTGCACCTGTGTTTCCTATTCTTGCTCGTAAGCTTATTGGAAACACAAGGTCACCCAGGAATATATCAGAGATCCTGTTTGCATTTACATTTGCAAGCTTGGTCGAGGTGAGGTAATGAGAATGAAACGTGATTGATTCACTAGCGGAAAATGGCCTGGAAGTTGTGATGACGAATTTCAGTGATGCTGCTCCTCGTTGTGAGAGTCTTGCATCTACAGAAGAGCTACTCAACCAGGACGTGCGTTCACAAGCTGTGGCTCCAACGCGGATTGCCAACGAAATAAGATGGTAGGTTCCGATGACATTCAGATTGACAGTTTCAAAGACCATCGTGTTGGTTGTGACTTTTTGGTACATGTACAAGTCAAATGTCATAGCTTGACTTGACGTAGCTACCCCTGAAAATATTGTAACTTTTACACCATCTGTAGATCTTGGTGACATTGCTGGAAGACTGAGTACAGATGTGTCGGAAACCCATTTTGAAAATTCAGAGCTGGTGAAAGAGACTCTCATAATGACCGATACATCCGATGTCATGAAGGATGAGCCGATGACTGTACTTGTGGTTCGTGCCCCCACATTCGACATTGTGCAAGTGCTTACAGATCCGTAGTCAAAAAATACGAGCGAATTTGAGCTTGCTATTTTCCTCTGGACAGTAACTACCACTTCGCCGAACAACAAGCCTGCAATTGGATGCAACATGCAAAGGATGCTTGAGTCGGACTTCCAAGATGTCGCCAGACATTGTGAGCCGCCGATGCTTGAACCTCGCTGAATCGGTGAGTCTTGCAGGAGTGGATTATATCCGACCAAGGAAAAGCCTTCTCCAGTAAGTGTCACGATGGTCATTCCGATTGTGGGACTGTTCAAAGGCCTCTGACTCTGTAGTGTCAGGTTGGGAGAACCAAGGTTTACAGCACTTACTGAACCTTGATCCATGTACTGAGAATACTTGTCCAAAGTAGACACCAGAAAATTGTCAGACCATCCTGCCAATCTTGCCAGGGATAACCCGAAGACCGAAACATTGACCAACTTCTGAGCTGAATTGAAACCTGGAACCAGCATCGACAAGGTCAGATTTCCGGTAGATCTTGCGCGTCGAGACCCATTGCACACTTCTCGATTGATTATTGGAATACGACGAATGCTCGTCAATCCGAAAATTGACTCCAAAACTGAAGGTGTATCCACGATCATAACTTGAGGCGGTAAAGTGATCTCGACAAAATTTTGAAATAGCATGGAATTAAAAGTTGTAAATTTGATGAAAAATTCTGGCCTGGAATCAACTGCAAGGAGACTGGTTTGCATGCTGAGATTGTTGAATTGATTTGGAATAGTATGCAATGTACCTTCAAATACATCGACTACCACTGGGACGCCACTCCTCTTTTTCAACGTCGCCATCTTCCACTTTGAAAAAGGTGTTGCAAAAGGACTTACATTCACATTCGTCAAGACGAGATCAAAAGAAGAAGTGCTGAACCAATCGTTGGCAAAAGTCTTGACGACCAATATTGACGCGCATGGATAGGTCGTGCGATTGCATATTGCCTGCGACACACCGAGGCAGCTAGTTGCTCCACAGCCATAAATTTGAAAGATACCGAAGTTTTGATTTGAGGGATAGACAGTAGATGAAACAGAGGGTGTCCCGGAGAAAGAATAGCCATCGGGCAATACTATGTACATTGATCCATCTGAAGGAAGAAAATTTTGAATCTCGACGTGAATTCGCAAATTTATAGACGGCTCCCCCGCTGAAGCTTCAGGGATGATGCCACCACGATTGACTTCATCAAAAGTGATTTGGACTTGCAAGCTTCCAAAACATTCGCCATCCAAGCTGGAAGTAGAAGCAGACCCATTGCCTGCTTTCGTCTCGATCCAAATCTGTGCGAAGATATCTGGCATTTGCAGAAACGCGTAGGTTCCATCTTTTTGCAACACTGAGGATGGAAGCACACGTACTACTTGTCCACTTTCAAACGCCTGGCTGTTGGAGCTCTTGATGTAGAAAGCGAGAACAGTGACAGCTTGGTTAGGACCCAATCCCAAATCTGAAGGAAGATTCCAAATAAGCTGAGGGGTAGGGTTTGCGTTGCAGCGAAAGTATCCACTAGCCGTCAACTCACTGCAAAATGACACGATGACTGGAGGGTCAGGATAATCTGCTGCAAAGGCGTCTAGATACGGTAAAGTACTTTTGCCACCACCGAAAGAGTTTACCGCCCAGACGCTTGCTTGATACTCACCACTTTTTTCCAGTCCAGAAAACTGTTTTCCATCCATGTCTGTACTGGCAGCAGATGTGAAGGTGTAGGAAAGGCTCGAACCTGCATTGAAATAGTATTCTGCTCTTGTTGACACGTCAAAGATCACAGCGACGTAGCTTGTGCTTGTGTTGACTGCATTCCACGTAAGAGTCAGCTCAAGCGGACCACTGACAACGAAACTCAAGCCAGTAGGAGCACTCGGACAAAGGTTGGATGAAGCATCCGATCTGCATGTAGCTCCAAGCACAGTCTGCATCTGAAGGAGTAGAGCAAGAGAAAGCAGACTCAGGAGTACACCTTTCGATCTGCATTTGGTATAATCGTGCATTCTACGTGCAATGTGACATTTGGATAGAAATCCTTCTATGCTAGTGCAGATGGAAAGACCAGAAAGCCTCCATTGTCCTGAGCAGACCAGAAAACCCTCAAAAGACCACTATTCATGATTTTTGGAATGTGTTTTGGTAGAATCCGGTGTGGAATTATTGTCTGGGTGTACTGTGCTCTCGTTGGTAACGTTGGCGCTTTGATTGCTGACAGAACAGTGCATGCAGACTGATCCTTGGAAGGGTGACTTGTAATATTCGACAAGCTGCTTCAGATGGAAGCTTAGGTCGACATGGCAGTTGTTCTGCACAGAAATTGCGAGAAAAGTTTAGGGGCAGGCAGCAATCAAGGCTGAGAAGGAGGGCAATGACGGGCGGCAAGGAATGAGGCACGTGGGTCAGGAAGGGAAGGGAAGGAGGACAGAGGAAGAGGGAGGACAGAGGACATAGGATCGCGATTGAAGGCGCCGCCCGCCATGAGAGGCGTCAAATAGGCGGGCAAGTCTTATCGGGGTGGGGTACCATCCAGAAGGGTGGGGTGGTGAACCCACCTTGGTAGGGACCTGACTCTGGGACGACACCTGAATTGAGAAACGATGGGGGTCCATTTGATGAGGAATAGTGAGTAGGGGTACTTCCATAAGGGTAGGGGTGGTTGCTAGACATTGATAGGTGGGGTCATAGATCTCGGGGTGCAGTAGAATAGTGACAACTTCCTGAAAGGAGGACGTTGGGTGGGGTCATTTTTAAGTAATTTTAGGAGGCACGGTCGATGGGGAGGTAGGTAGGGTGGTTAAATTTAAGGGGTAGACATTTGCTGTACTACCACATAGATAAGTATGGGTAGGGGTGGAGAGTTGCCAGCTCGGAGGTGGTGGAGAGTGATTGATACGGGGGGTCACTGGATCAGGGGAATAGGGGGGGTGGGGTTGAACGGTTACGATTAAGTTGAACCGTTTTTCATTGATTAAATTCAAATACTATACAACCATATTTTCAAATTTAGGTCAAAACTTTACACGTCTGAGATCTTTTCACCGTCCTGTAGCCAATGTGGATAAACGAAACAGATTCTTTTTTTATTTTACAGATTCTTTTTTGGGTCCCGGCGCCCGGAGCCGGGGGCGGCCAGCCTGTACGGTCCGACTAGTCCGAATGAGTCGCCGGCGGCCGCGTCACTGAAGTCACATGATGGGCGGGCCGGGCGGCCGCGCTGGCTAGTATACAGGCTGAGTGAAGGTATCAGTTAAGTTTGGGGGACAGCAGTTGGCAGGATTGGGTTTGGTTCTCGCTGTCTTTTCTCTTCTCGCCGTTTGGCCTGTGCGACAGTGTCAGGGTCAAGCCTCAGTCCTCGACTCTCCTGATTGTCCTCGTACTGCTCTTTAACTTAACTTTGAGTAAAGGCTGACGGACTGCCGGACTCGGGACTTACTTTTTAGTTACTTGACTTTGAGTAAAGTCAGGACTGCCAGGCTGATTTGCCGCCATCACGGGCGGCGGCCCTGCCCGGCCCTGCCCGGCCGGCGTGCCCGGTGCCCGGGCCGGGCCCCGCCGCGGCGGCCGGGAACTCTGCCCGGAAGTTTGAGTTGCCGGGAAGTGGGAAGACAATCGGCAAGTGAGCAGGTTCAAGGGCAGGAACAGGAGGCAGACCTGAGGGATCGGGAGCACCGGGAGCAGGAGCAGGAGAAGGGGCAGGAGCAGGAGCAGGAGCAGGAGCAGGAGAAGGAGCAGGAGAAGGAGCAGGAGCAGAAGTGGGGGCAGGGGCAGGGGCAGGGGCAGGGGCAGGATCAAGACCCGGGGCATGACGCAAAAGATGACGGCGAAGACAAGCTTGGTTCAGGCGTATAGGGAGGACATCTAAGGCACATGCAGAAACACATCTTGGTCTTGCTTCTCTGCTTCTTCATTGTCAGAGCAGGTTAGCCGCGAGGTCACAGCCCCACCTCACCCTGGTTGTAGATGCTCTGCCGAATAGCACGACGACTTTGGAACAGAAAGGTTTGCAGGAGGATCAGGACGCAGGGGAGTTCTTCCGGTACGACTGCGATCGGCATGCCGAGACTGATCGTGTGGGACTGATTGTGCTTCTTGTCAAGCACGTTCCTGGAGCCTCGGAGAGTAGAGAGGAGTGTGGATCTCGGAAGGCTGTTGGTAGGAAGCGTTCTCTCCTCTTGTTTCTTCCGCTGAGACGCCATGAGCAGAAGATCCATATCCGCATCCCCGGCCAGCTCGCTTGGCACCTCAAGTCCTGCACTTACTTAGGTCTAGCCTTATCGCAGATGCCTCCTCCTCTTACCCTCAGCAGCTCTCTGGTTCTTATCGGGAGTCGCCCATGACATCGGGAACAAGCTGGTGCGGCTGCTCGAGGTGGGTCGGAACCATGACAGACGCGTCTCTGCAGGCGATCTCGACCCTCCGCCGACCATTGCTGCATACCTTGAGTGAGACAAAGAGCACAGGAACCAGAGGCACAGGCAAAGCTGACCATCCTCCAGCTCAGAGTTTCATCGGGACTACCATCAGCTGTCTCGTATGGTCTACGGGAGTGAGGAGGATACCAGGTGGTGTATGCGGAAGAGGATCCGCTACTTCTCGATGCTTGACACTCGTCCTGTTCTCTCTTCCTGCAGCTCTGAGCTGGAGGCAAGTCCAGCTCTTGGTTCCTCTCGCAATCTATCATGCTGTCGGTATGGCTTCTTACTTCCCCCGCACCCCCACTTTCTTTCCCCTTTCCTCCTCCTCCTCCTTCCCGATTCTCCTCAAAGCTGATCGGCATCAGGGCTTGTCTTTGGAAACGTTGCCGTGATGTTGGGCCCTCTGGCCTTCATCTACGTCCTCAAGGTCTTGCTCCAGCAGACCTGTCGATGCATGACGTATTACCTGGCAGCAATTCGAGCCGATCGCTGCCTCCTGGATCTTTCTGCTTATGGGGAGAGGGAAATGTCTCAAGTGCCTGCAAGACAAGAAGCCGACGATGAGGATGCTTGCCAGTTCGCTCTCCTGATCTCCTGCTCTCCACCCCTCTCACTCCTGACGTAGGCATCGTCCCGGCCCTCTTTGGCTCGTTGCTCTCTCTGTATCATATGATAGCATCTAGAGCAGATATTCGGAGGTCCGTGCCTGCTCCTGCTCCTGCTCCTGCTCCTGCTCCTGCTCCTTCTCCTGCTCCTTCTCCTGCTCCTGCTGCTCCTGCTCCTTCTCCCCACTTTCCTGCCACTATCTCTTCCCTCATCCTGTGCCTCTTCCACATTGTAGAGCGATTGCTGAGCTTCACGTGGCAGGTACCCGATGAGGGAGGTCTGTAACGCACAGCAGTTCCTGGCTGCAGCGGTTAGCACCTGCTTCTCGCTCTTGAGGTCCGTCATGGGACAAGGTCAGGCTTGCACGCGTGGGAGGTAGAGAGGAGAGAGCACTGAAAGATGCGCAGAGACCTTGTCCATGAAGGGATGGAGCCAAAAGAAGACGAACTTGAACGGCCCCAACCTCATTGCCGTCATGCAGGCCATGTACGATCAGGATCGCTGGCTGTGCCACTCCTGCTGAAGCATGCTGCAGGACCGGGGCCCTTCTCACTCCGATCCTCCTCTTGTCTCAGATGTTAGATTACCTTCGTCTCATCCTCCACTCTGACCTCTCCCCACACAGTGTTCATCTGCTCTCCTGGAACCTCAACAGCCCCTCCCTCGTCCTCGTACGGCTCGACCCTGTCGCTTCCCCTCCTTCAAAGTTGATCTTCACCTTTCAGCTCCACAAGCGGGTCTTCACCCTTCACTACCTCCTTCCTCTCCTCCTCTCCTCCATCGCCTATCAGGTACTCGTTCCTCTCGCTCTACTTCTCTCATCGCCCTCTAGCTCCACTACGAAGCCGCGTTCCTATCTCTCAGGATGGTAGGCTTTTCCTCCTCTTGCTCCTCCCCTCATGCCTGCTGCAGCTTTCGCCCATCTCCTACTCCTTAGGCAAGCATGGCGAGCTTCCTTCCCTTCTGACGAGGCAGGCAGCCAACCAAGTGAAGACTCTCGTTTATATCGCCTCTGCCGCTCGTTTCTTCGGCCCCGCCATGCCCGTCAAGGTTCCCTGGCGTCAGTCGGTCATGAGCCCTGACCCTCTACAGTCCTTCCTCGCGTCCACCGTCACCACGGCGAGCCTCATCCTCTACTCCAAGGTGCCTCCTGCCTTGCTGTCGCTCCGACGGTGAGCTGGTCCTCTTGTCGCAGGAGCTTGCGAGATCCTACGAGAGCGTCCGGCAGACCGTCAGCAAGTGACGAGCAAGCGCTGGGAACAGAGACTGAGGCTGATCATGTTCATATAAATCATCGATGTTGAGAAAGAATAATCTCTGCGATATTGACACGTGACACTTGGTCCTCTTTCACACCCCGTCGCTTCTTCTGCTCCTTCAGGTCCTGGGTCGAGGGATGCCTGCCGCTCGGACGGGCCTCTCAGCCCCTAGCCCGAGTCTCCCATACCTCCCACGTACAACGATGGCGTGAGAGTGGCCCTGCAGAGGAGATGAAGTAAGAAGGGAGGAGGAAGATGAGGGGTGAGGAGGAGAGAGGAGGGAGGTCTTCAGATATCACCTGCTTATGCTTGCCGAGTCCCCTTTCTCCATCCCATCCCATCCGCGAGATTAGCGTCCTTGAACGAGACCTTGTCAGCAGACGACACACTCAATCAAAGCTCCACCTGCCAACCCTCCAATCATCGAGGGACTCCCGAACAATCCTCTCCTCCGCGTCCTCGTCGCTGAACTCTCCGTCACCATCAACAACATTCAGACGCATCCAGCAGACCTCCAGGAATTGTTCCAGCCCTCGAGAGTGGCCCAGCCGTTCTGCTCTTCACTACCAGAGTCTGCCTTCGCCTGCTTCCTCGGTCTGGCAGCGAATGAGATGCCAGTAAGCAACGAGTCCGCCTCACTCACCTTCCCTCGTCCCCCGAGTCGGATTCGTCTCTTCCTCTCCTGTGCTTTCGGGGAACGTCTTTGTCGCTCTCGCTCTCCTCTTCTCTGCTCCCCCTCACGTCAAACCCCCACAAGCACACCGGGGGCTTCAAACCGGTTGGACGTAGCGCTGTGAGCTTCAGAGCCGAAGAGCAGTTCCATCTTCTGCTTGTCCGTCATGCGCTTCTCGCGGCCCTGTAACCCTTCTCAGTCATCCCTGACCATCGCCAAGACCTGGCGGCACCTCTCTCGTCTCCCTCTTCGACCAGGCTTCTACGACAGAAGCTGGATTCTCTCTCGGAAGCTGAACCAGTGATCAGCTCAACGAGCTACAAGTCCTGAGCTTCTCACCCATGGAAATTCTTCTCGCAACTTTGCGAGCCTCTCCTGTTTCTGTTCAGCAGTCTCTCTCGGTTTGCCGCCGCCTCCAGGTCCATCGTTGACTTGCTCGTTCACCAAGATCTGAAAGCTCAGCAGGTCAAGGAAAGAATGCAAAGGGGCTTGAAAACATTGAGCAAATCAGGTTGTACCTGCGAACCATTGTTCCAACTTGGCTTGCTGTTGTTCAGAGCCTTGCAAACCTGCACAGATCCATTTAACGCGTTTCCCTAGTCGAGATTCTGTATCACCTCTCGACACTTTCGTAGCAGGGTGGAATCCAGAAAATTTACAAAACCTATCGTCGAGGACTGGGATAAAGCATTCGATTCAAAAGGCAGGACAAAGACAAGTAAACCAAGTCTCGCACCTTTCCCTCCCTCTTTGGCATTATCTTCAAGCTTCCCACAGGTCCGGCTTGCTTGAATAATCTGCGTGATCGAAGTCAGGGCCCAGAAGGAGTCCAAGAAGGTGTTTGGCCTCCCATCTTACTTCCAGAGGTTGTCTTCGGTAACTGAAGGATCCAGGTTCGTTACGCAGAAGCTTGCTCTACCCCTCTCTTCAACGTACGGGGACTCAAACTCCGCAGGGCTTCCAGCTCGTGCATAGTTATCTGCCACCTCGATCGCTCCCACGCCCTTGATCCACTTCTTCGATTGGGGTGCAACTTTTAAAGGAGCGACTGGAGCTTTGACGACGCTGTCGTCAGACTCCTTCCTGGAGGTAGCGAGCTCTGGTGTGGCAGTTGCCTCTGATCCTTGTCCTCCGGCCTGCGATACAGCTCCAATACCTTTGATCCATTTCTTTGAGGTGGCACCAACGGCAAACGAGAGTTCAGATCCAGCTCGGTCTGCTGAGCTCAGATTAGGAGCCTCGATGTCTCCCGATTCTTTTTCGGACGAGGGATCCTTCGGACTGTCGATACTGCCGATGCCTTTGATCCATTTCTTTGACTGCGGCCTCGCGCCACCTTGATCATAACCAGATGCAGTCACTTCTTTCACCTTGCCCTCGTTCTAGTTGTGCACACGTCACACGAAGAAGACAACAAGGCGCATTAACTGACCTCATACTGCGATATGTTCGCCGCCCCATCCACTGGCTGAGTAGGAGCCTTTCCAGCTGTACTCACACTGGTTTCGCCGCTATCTGTGTTGGTCGGGTTTGCTTCAACCTGAGAACTCTCGTTCTTTGCGGCATCTGCGCTCGAAGGCTTCACCCATTTCTTGCTTTGGAAACGAGGAGGCCCCCCCCTTGGCGCCCACCCTCTTCCTCCTCCTCTCATCTTGCTCCCTTGCTATCTTGATTACAAGGCAGAAGCTCTGTGCATGTGACTCCGATCCTTGCTCTGTTGATGGCTGTCCTTGGTTACGCTATCCTTCCTTGCTCTGTTGATGGCTGTCCTTGGTTACGCTATCCTACCTGTGATGTACATGAAATCAGCCAATGCTCAGGGGACCCAGTTTGCGAGTTCAAAAAAACAGTCAGCTGTTCATTGAATCATCGAAGCCCCTGGCTCCATCAAGGTTCTTCCTTCAGCATCACTCCCTGTCAGTCCTGCAGTTTCATGTTCTAGATCAATCGAACTTGGATCATATTTCGAGCTTCTCGTTTCACTTGAGCATTGGTGGCCATCTATCAAATAGATCTTCAACTATTCCCCTTCTCGCTTCCGCCCTTGATCTGCCCAAACACTTTCAAATCTAACACCTGCGCCTAAGAACATCCTGACAATCAGATTCAATAACACGTCCTTGCGTTCATCTACACCTGACTCAGTTCGCATGGTCCCATTAAATCTTGACCAGGTTGTTCGCCTCGGTCTCAACTTCACCTCTCCGTGATAATCAAATTCGCACAATTCACATTCCGTTTTACTTCGCTCGCTCGGCATTGACACTATTCTTCTGAAGGCGCCTCGATTTCCCTCACCTCTTCTGGGCATGGTCTAACTCCTCCCCCTCGTCCATGTTCTTTCCCCGTCCCGTTTCACTCAAAGTCTCATAATAATTCTGTATGAATTCTTCAAGGTATGCTTGTCTGTTCGTGGCTCTCCAACTCTCTCCTGCTTACTGCTCGCCTCCTCACCTTCTTCTCCTCTAGGCCATCGCTCTATCGCTCCTCCCCTGACCCACCATCTCCGCCCCTGAGCCATTTTGAGCAAGGGATGGAGAGAGGGGGGTAGTGGCTGAGGATTAGGGGTGGTAGTGGAGGGTAGTGTGGGGGTAGGGGTCATGTGTATGCAGGGCCGTGTTTCAATCATGGGGTAAATAGAAAACTACTTTCAAAATTATGATCTCTAAATTTGAAATAAGATCGAATTATTATATTTCAAAATTAGATTATATGAAGAAATACCAATGATGATGAAAAACTTAAATCCGCCCCCCTCTGTGGGCCGGCGGGCCGGGCGGCCCCGGCGGCCCGGCCAGCCTCGGCCGGGCCGCAACTGACCATCGTCAGACCGGCGCCGCGTATCCGCCGTGCCGGCGGGCCGGGGTGCCAGCGTAGTAGAGGACTTAACTTTGAGGCCTTTGAAAGGAGGCTAGCCGCGGCTCTGACCAGGGCCGCGCTGTCACGCCATGAGTCACCGTCACGGCCGCCGCCGGAGTCACGGGCCGTATGTCACTGGCGCTGAGGCTTCACTGAACCGCAGGCTTCCGACGATCGGATTCGGGCGTACAGTACGGTACGGTAGTGCGAGACTGAGACGGTCAGTACTCAGCTTACCATCATCATGTGTGACCGGGCCGCTGACTCGGTCGTGCCCGGCGGCCGGGCAGCGGCGCCGGTGTGCCCAGGTGGACCGACGAGTTCAAAGCTCTTTGCAAGCGAAAAGGAGTCTTTTCAGACCTCAAGGGAGCGCAAGAAATAAGGCGGACGGCATATGGGGCATCGAGAGCTCTCGGTCCTCCCTCCACGTTGAACCTCCTGTAGCTCGAGTCATCGCACCTCAGAGTCTCCTCCCATGACAAATTCTTGTTGTGGGTCCACCGATTGCTCCAAACTGCACAGCTGCCGTGCTCTTCACGCGTTGATGCTAGATCCTTCAGTATCTTGCAATGGAGCAAACGTAGGAAGGGAAGCTCCAGCAAGCAGCAAGAAACAAATGAGCAAAGATGTCATGAAAAATTATGTCTACACCCCATTTCAAGTTGACGATGAAATTTGTGAACCATCAATCAACTCGTTGGGAGCTTTGAAGCGAAACACCACCTTGCACAAGGACTATCTCTACAGACAGGAACTTTTTGGAAAATCCATCGACACCTGTGGAAATTTTGAATCATCTGTTGATAGCCTGTCTCTGCGGAAGTTTCGCATATAACATGACCATAGCTACTCCTTCAATCGCTTTGTTTTGGGCTTGTGAATTGTATTTTCTTATGGCTGAGAAGTCGGTAGAGTGTCAGGCACGAGGAGGACCAAGACCCGGCGACCATTACGTCGCTCGCTAAGGTGCTGAATGATACTTGCTTATTCATCTTGAAAGTCCATCAATGCCTTCTGTAGCAACAGCAACAGCAGCAGCAGCAGCAGCAGCAGCAGCAGCATCATCAGCAACAGCAGCAGCAGCATTATGTAGCCTGAGTAGTAGTAGAGGTTGTGGCGATTTTGTGTTTTGCCGCAAGTTAGCAATTTTGATACGTTAGAAACGTGTGTGTACATAAAACTTGCAAACTTTAGTCTCGATCTTACTGTCATTTTCGTGACTTTCTGGCAAGAATCCTACTAGGCTAGCAGCCTGAACCGTGTAATTCCCGGCGGTTCGGCGACTCGTCGATCGGACTCACTGAGGCTGCCAGCTGAGGTGATCTGCCGGGCGGCCGGGCCCACCGGCCTGAGTGGCCCAGTTTGACAAGTCCGAGTCACCGTCTGAGCTCAGCAAGTTGGGAACTGAGACTTGAATCCACGGCGTGGCACGGCGGAGTCCGAGCCGAGGCCCGGGCCGGCATATCCTGCTCTGTAGAAGCCCGGGGCCGGCCGCTGCTGGCTAACTCACTGACTCGGAGTAGGCGGTACTAGTAACTTTGAGTGAAGGATGGACTTCAAGTGAACTTCGGAACTTGGAGCCTCCGGGCCCGGCCACCACCGTGCGCCGGGCGGCCGCGTGCGGCTATTACTGAGGCAACCCCGATGACCCCCGATGACCCCCGCTTTATCCTTTGAATCTACCGGTTAGGATCGGATCACCCCCACCTACACTTTCGATAGCTAAATCACCGGTTCTCTGTATCCGCGCGCGCCATGTGTAGAAAGAGGATACCACTAACGAGGGCGGGAGGGCGGGGAGGGGAGGGAGGAGGGTAAAGAATGGCGGGAATGTAGACATGGCAGGGATGAGAAGGAAGGGGAGCTGAGAAGATCAGGACGAAAACTAACAAGAAGGAGTGAGGATCTGAGCAATAGAGATTCGGGACCTTGGGAAAAGAACGAACATAATGGCAAGACGTGGAAGAATCTGTGAAGGGGGAAGAGTGTAGCTGAAAGCTGCATAGAGAAACTGTTAGTTGCATACACAGTAGATCAAGATATAGTGTAATCGAGAGGATAGGAATGAAGGAGCATGGAAGGGAAATTTTACGAGGCTCACGACAGGACTAGACTGAATTCTTGATGGTCGAACGTGCCATGTCAACGCCCAACAGTGACCTTGTTACCAGCAGCCCAAACATGGACGAAGACTACGGTCGGAGAAGGAGAGGGTATCACTCCCCGAGGTACTCACGACGTAGTGTAAAGTCTGTCTGATGGATTTCTTGCTGCAGTCCACACCGGTATGACAGGCGGAGACCGAGGTCGCCCTCTCCAGTGATGTACCAGCAAGGATACCACAGAGACCAGCACTTCTACGACGATAGAAGGATGGATCACTACGGGTTGCTGGCTCCTTCTTGCCTCCAAGGGTCGTTACTCTGCATTTCGCAGGAACCAGCATAAAAGGCGAAGGTCCAGCCCTTCTCCCGGGAGGGGAAGGTAACGTCAGATGTGCATGTCGTTGGTTGACAGCAGTGCATCAGGCGGGGGAGAAATGGTTCGCCAGGGCGGAGACAGTCACCCGGGCATGTTCGAGAGATCTCGCCGTCGCGCATGTTTCGTGATTACAATCATATCGTCTCTATCGAGGAATTCGAAGACAAGATGTCCAAGTGAGATCAATCTTTGGTGAGATACTCCAGCAGTGCTGTGACATTTGTCTCCAGCAATTATGTTTCGAGAAACCTTTCACCCGAGTCGAGAAAAAAGGCCATCGGACAAGACTATGTCCGTTACGTGGAGACATTTCAGAGTGACGATGGGCCCAATCGGTCAGTATGATTACCTGCATCTGTTCGTCCTCTAAGTAGTGATCTTGATCAGTGGAGAGGCAGTTCGTTGCTTTCATGAGCACCAAGATGAAGAATGGTTTTGGGAGAAATATCACCCAGATGGCCATGTGAAAATGTTTGAACTTCGATCAAGCGAGGCTCGAGAGAATTATGAAGCATTCTGTCAGAAAGTATGAGCCAGCGTTGAAGTGGGGTGAAGCTATACTGAGCTGACTTTGCAGGAGGTCAACTTGGACACGCTTGACATGCCAGGAGTCGTTATGATAGTACTGACAACACTTCCGGGCTTCAAACCCTGACAAAGCTGCTAGGCGGATGATAGAAACCATCACAGCAACACCTCTCGGTCGAAACGCGAAGATAATGACGTGGAAAATGGGAAGGACAAGGTACTTTTCTCCTTTGGCCTCCATGTTTGTTGACGAGTTTGACGGAAGGAAACGGAAGAGGGCGAAGAGCCGGCGGTCGATCGCTCCTAGAAGCTCCTTATCACTTCTTACGAGATTACCGCAGGTCAACGAGAGCTCAGACAAGCCTGCCACTGAGAATGCTGAGGTGATAGCGCGTTTCAATCTCACCTCTCCTCCTTTAGTAATCAAACGCTGGATTGGACAGGACGAGAATTCGGCTGAAGTCAGCAAGGAGCCGGAAGAACCCGTAGCGCCAACCGTAACGGTCAGCAGCTGGTGCGCTGCTGAGGCTGCTTCGAGCAACAGCGTCTTTATCCGACAGGCATGATGCATACAAGAGATTGTTTGAATTCTGATCTGACCGGAGCTGTCAGATCCCCTACAAGGCAACTCGCCGTCAGATCATTCACTTCCTGTCTGGTACAAGAGGACACAATGGACGGTTGAGACACGATAAACTAACACTCTGGTGTGGACAGAAGCCAAGGGATTCCGAAAACTGCTGATTTCCGAGCCAATGAAGGTGCCGAGAGCGCACTGCTCCCACCGAGGTCTCAAACTGTGACAGACAAAGAATTGGACGAGGATCGGATGGGCGATTTTCGAGGATGAAGATGCGAGCAAGACCGCAGGTCAGAGGAGGTGGGATGGACGCATCGAGCTGACCAGAGATCGAACTGCTAGTGATCAAATTTGACGGCACTGAAGTTCATCCGTTGCCTGTCGAGAAGGAGGAAGGGGATGAGAAGGAGGGAAAGTCTGAAGTGAGCTGGACATGAAACTCGAACTGGCTGTTGCTTCTCACGGAGTTGCAGGCGACCATGGAAGGCATTCGTTTCCGAATTGCTTGCACCTCAACTCGTCCGATCCCCTCCTCCAGGTCATTGTCACGACTCCGCAACCAGCAGACTGTTTCCTGCTTACACTTGTCACCAACTCTGCAGACTCTCTGTCAAGACCTGCCCTTCTGTCGCTTCCTGTCCGCGCAGACTGCAGGAGGTGTGCCGGTGACCAGCTCCGCTTGCACGCTTGTGACCTCAATGCCCAGGATCTGCCTCTCCTCCTGGAGCTTGTGAAGGTCTGGACCAATAGTTGCTCGCACGTCTGGCGTAGTGACGAATTCCCGCAGGCTCTTGATACTGAGAAGGGTATCAAGGAGAACAAGGTTGTCTCGGCCATCGAGTCGAAGGTGTCTTCTTTCCCTTCCTTTTCTTATCTTGTTCTGCTACCCTTCGAGACAATTCGATCAAACTCTTGACGCGTTCTTCGTGATCAGGAGGATGTTGAGATCGGGAAGAAAGTCGATCTTCTCGTCCACTACCTCCGAAGAGTGCATTATTACAGCTACTACAAGGTGAAGGAGCTGCCGCGTTGTCATCGTGCTCACTAGAACTTCCAGGGGGAGGAGTACAACGACATCGGCGAGATGATTAGGAAAGGGTCGGCAACTTACGTCCGGCCTGTTCTGGTACGGTCGAGTAGTAGATGAACGTGGGTTGAAAATCCCCTCCAGCCTCCCGATTTCGTCGACGAGGAGAGCGAATGGGAGCGTTTGCTCGTGCAACGTACGAAGAAGCGGATCGAGAAGGCATGACATTCCCCCCCCCCCCCCCCCCCCCCCCCCGATATGATCACCTTGAAAGATTGCTTCCTTGATCGCTCTGGTTGTTGGGGCAACAATCCTGACGTGCCTCCTGTCCTCCTCGTACTCCCTCCCCTTCGCTCCTGTCCCCTTCTCTTCCACCACATCCTCCCTGCCGTTTTGTCTGAGGGTCTGTGTGCAGGCTGCGAGCTTTTCTCCTGAAGTGAAGATGGAAGATCCTCAGACCGAGCGGGTCAGCTTTTTCTCCTCGCCTCCTCCTCCTCTTCCTCGCCTCCTCCTTTACCTCTCCTCCCCTTCTCCTTGTTGTGAGGCTTATTCTTCAGCTGCTCGCGGCGTTCTACATCGCCAACTGTGTGGAGAAGGAGCGGGACACCAAGTATCAGGTGACGCAGCAGCAGACACACTAGGCTGCTCAGTCTGATGACAACTTGTTCAGTGCAAGATTCCGTTCAAAGGGACTTGCAAGGTGAGACGGCAGCTTCGAGTTTCGATCGCACGTCTCAGTCTTGCCATCAGGTCTTCAAGGCGCCAGAGTTTGTCAAGAAGCATCTGTGGAACAAGCACGTGCCAGTAATGCTCCCTCCCTCCCCCTCCTCTCTCCTCCTTCCTTCCCTCCCTCCCTCCTCCGTCTCCCCCCCACCCCCCCCCCTTCTGACTGTCGCGAGAGCTCACTGAGAGTTACAGGCGGTCAAGAAGGAGATGTATCTCATGGCCTACCTCATGGACCCGCATCGCCCCACAGAGGCTGTTCTCAACCAGGTACGTCCGGCTCCTCGCACGCCCTCCTCCTTGACTTGCTCCTCCAGGGCATCGCCATCGCCATGGGCGCAGGAGTTCGCAACGCAGCCTTCGACGCGCGGGGACGAGGAGACATGATGGGGAACGTGCGGGGGCAGGGAGGAGGCATGTCAAGAATGCCGATGCCAGTGATGATGGTCCCTCCCATGATGCAGGGAGGTCGCCGGGTAGCTATCCTATCCTGATCTTCCTTCCTCCGCTCACGCTTCTGCAGCCCCCCCACATGATGCCCGGCATGGTGAACGCGGTCCAGAGTTCAGACCCGCGGTATGTTGCTGCTTCCTCCTGCCCCCTCCTCCTCCTCCTCCTCCTTCCCTTCCTCCTCCTCCTCCTCCTTCCCTTCCTCCTCCTCCTCCTCCTGCCCCTGCTCCCTCCTCTCAGTCCGCGCACTCATGAGCATGCAGAGGGCTCAAGGCCTACGTGGACCTGGACGCGGTCGGGTCTTCCTCAGCTGGCGACATCGACTACCGCAGCCCCGCGTACTAGACGAGGCCGACGGTCCGAGGCTCCTCCCGGGCCTTTGGCTACTAATGATTAAATCCGCATGATCATCGGATGGACTGAGAAAGCTCTCAACTATCAGGAGTGCTGCAGTAATCAGCCGTCACGGGCTAAGCCCCGTCTTACTGAGCATCATTCAATCATGGATCATAGTATACTATAATGCCAGGCCGGCCGGGCCGGCGCCGGCAGCCCGGCGCCGGGCCGCGCCCGGGCCCCCGGCCCGCCGCCACTGCCACGGGCCCATCAAATGTTTCAACGGTTATTCTGACCATCGGGCGGTTATTCTAGTATTGCAGTTGACATCAATGAGTGCCTGCCAAAGTTGACATGCCGGGCAGGGAGGGAGGGGAGGGAGGGAAGGAGGGAGGGGAGGAGAGGAGGGAGGGGAGGAGAGGAGGGAGGGGAGAGAGGGAGGGAGGGGAGGGAGGGGAGAGGAGGAGAGGAGAGGAGAGGGAGGGAGCCTCGGAGGGAGAGGAAAGAGAGGAGAGGGAGTAGGGAATGGAAGAGAGGAGGGAGAGGAGGAGGAGGAGGAGGAGTAGAGAGGATGGGATGGAAGAGAGGAGAGAGGAGGAGGAGGGAGGAGCTTGAGAGAGGATGGGGCTGTGAGTGTAGGAGGTAAAGCATTGCAGCAATCATTGGGAGCGGGGGATGGAGACGATTGGAGGCAAGGCATGCGGCAAGGGGATGACTGATGGATTCCAAACAGACCTCTCGCACATGCACGAGGAGGAAGACGAGGGAGACGAGAAGAGGGAGGAGGGAGAAGAGGGAGGAGGGAGGAGGGGATAGCTGCGGTTCCCATTCCATGCTCAGAGATCAGCATGAAGGTCCCGACGCCATTGGGCGTCTAGCAAGATCATCGGCGAATCGAGCGAAACTTGTAAGGGCCGGATGCTCGATCCACTCGGTCTATGACGTCCCGTCGCCGGAGAGGTTGGAAGGAGTCCTTCTCCATGCCATGACGCCGGTTGACTTGTGGAGCAGGAAACTCCGACGGGCTGCGAGCGACGGCCGTTCGAGCGTGAGCGACAGAGACGACAGCTCCTGCTACTTCGGGGGATCCTCCGAGTCTGAGGTCAGCCTGCGTCTCATGGCGCTGCTCGCTGACGGCAGGAGAAGATCGCAGATTACACGGCATGGAAGAAGCACGGGAGGCGACTGGCGGCAGCCTACCGATGCTTGCGGACATCGGCAGTGTTCGCGTGCTTCGATGCCGACGAGATGGACAGACTGGCCGACAAGATCTCGACAGAGAAGTTCTGTGCCTACGTGCCTGCTCGAACTTGCGCGATGCAGGAGGAGCAGGGCGACGGGATCTGCTTGTTCCTGCACCGAGGAGCCGTCAGCTGCTACTCCAAGGGCAGCGACACCTTCCACCTCGCCGAAAGTGACTACGGGAGGAAGATGTTCAGCAAGACTGCTCCTGTGCTGCACCCACATGCTCGCTCCTCTCTGACTCTCCCCCAGGCTCTCATCTGCGACCTCGCCTTCGTCTCCGGCTGCCCATGGCCCTTCTCCGCCGTCACCGACAGCGACTCGGAGGTCATCGTGATCATGAGATCGCAGCTGGACGACATGCTGGGGGACGCCAAGACCGAGAAGAAGGCGATGAGAGATGTGGAGGGAGAGCCAAGTCGCTGATCCTCCTAGCAGGTCTCGGCGCACTTCCGGTACCTGTCGGAGAGGTCGAATGTGGAGTTCAAAGAGTTCTCGGAGACCTTTGTTGGTGGACCTGACCAGCTCCTTCCCATCTTCCGCGGGGTCAGACCTCCTCCTGCTCCTCCTGCTCCTCCTGCTCCTCCTGCTCCTGCTCCTCCTCTTCTTCTTCTTCTCCTCCTCCTCCTTAACTTCCCCCCCCCCGGAGGTTTCATCTCTCACTTGGCCTGCAGGTCATGAAGCACCCGACCATGCCTCCGAACTTCCGGCCTCTGATCGCTCCTGTTGCTGTGCGGCTGAAGGAGCTGACGGAGAACATCGCTCCCTCTCTCTTTCACCAGGCAGAAGATCTCCTATCCTCCTCAGCGGTCAAGCAAGACAGCAGTGACAACCTTGCCGTCATCCGATCCTACAACATGGAGAGGTCCAACCATCCTCCTCCTCCTCCTCCTCCTCCTCCTCCTCTCCTTGCGATCTTGACGGGACTGCAGAAAACTTGAGCGCCATGGCGACGTGCTCAGCCAGGCGAAGCTGCAGATCGATCTGTCAACAGCCACGTCGAGGAAAGCAAGACACGACATGCTGGTGCTTGTTGCAACCGTTATGTTGCAATGAAACACTTCAGGTGCTGAGGGATCACTGTCGGGTAGCCAACAACTGGCAGACGCTAGAGAGGTATGCTCGATCAGTTTCCAACTCAGGGATGAGAATGACTGCAGGTTCGAAGACTACGAGCGTAAGGAAGTGATCGGTGCAAAGAGCCTGCAGAATCAGTTCCGAGACTTCAAGATTCAACATGTCGTCGACTACTACGACAGGCAACCCAAGGACTCAGACGTCCCTCGTGATCTCAACCTGGCCCGCAGGCATGGCAGGCGAGCGCCTGACCTGTTGAGGAATGAGATCGCGTTGCATGCGCTCAAGATGAAGGAGCGCATGGAGGAGGCGAAGCAGACCATCTTCGATGCCGTATGGCCCTGAGCCGTTGACGCCACCATGAGCTGACGCCCGAGCAGGGGCTCCTCTCCAAGTACGTGAAGAAGCTGCAGAAGCCCTCAGCCAAAGAGATGAAGGCGAGCGGGAGCAGCGCGTCTTTGACCTCAAAGTCAGGTCGGTGACCTGTCTCAACTTCGTTACTTCCTCCTTCCTTGTCTTGTCGTTTCGTGTCTCATGGGAGGTTGAGCAGGGGGAAAGAATTCTTTGCCGCAGCCTCTGCCCTGGCAGCGAAAGTTTCCTGAGCTCCTGCAGAAGAAAGCAAAGCCCACGGCCAAGGATCGTCTGCCTTCGATAGGCAAGCCAGCTAGACGGAGCCAGTCGGTCGAGCCAGTTGGTGAGAGGCACGAAGAATTTCTGGTATCGAGCAACAAGACTCGGACCATCCTGACGCTCTCTCTCCAGTTCTCGCGCGACTATGGGAAAGAGCTCCTAGAGACATCGCTCACAGGTGCTGCTGCTGCCTTGCTTGCCTCACTTCATGAATGTCCAGCAGCACGCCTCCACCTCTCTGTCTTGGTCTTGATCAAGCTTCTCGTGACTTTGTTTCAGATTCAGAAGATGATCAGGCTGAGCTGAAGTGATGCAAAAATCGGTCCTCGTTCGATAATTTCTTTCTATTTGATTCAGAATGTTGTTTGTAATGTATAGATGTTGCTTGTAACTATACACTTGCTACTGTTCCTGGCCACTCGCTATCCCATCGACTGGCTTCTACTTCTTGAACTCGGGTGAACACAACATCTGGCGACGGCACGCGCATCCATATCTATATCAACAGTAACCACACGAGTTCTTCAGCACAGACATCTGGCAACCTTTAGCTTCTTGTCTTTCCATACGCCCTTTCCCTTCCATCAAACCGTCAGTGACTCTAGCAATAAGGCAACTCTTCCTTCTTACCTGCAAGTACAGTCTCAGCTGTCGTTCTCTATCCCGACGATCAATTTTCTGTCGACAAATCAGTCTTGAAGATCTGAGCATGAGGAGTCAAGGTCTCCTAATCTCTTACAAGAATCACGCTAGCAGGCAGCAAGTCTGGCATGCACACGTCGGTTTTCAGTTTCCCGAAGAATCGATTGGTACTCGACGCCGCGCTTGTGCTGTTTGCCTTCCATCGCGACTTGATGACATCTTCTGTTTGCTCCCATTTGTCAAGAAGAATGCAGACTGAGCCAGAGCTCTTGTCCACTTCTACCACAGTTCCTTTTCTCCAGAGAAATTCAGCAGGATCGAGTACCAGCACCGCCTCGTTCATCAGGTCCTCTGCCTTGTGGAAAAATCCTCGCGACTCTCTGACAGCCTGGACAAAAACTTTGAGTGCACATATAGTCAAACAAGGATTCACTACCGGATCATGTACGCGATCTGAGAACAGCTCTTCGAATGAGTTTGAAATTTCTCTTGCCATGATGGTAGCGTCATCCTGTTCCCCACTATAATACAGGCAGTTTCGCCATACCTACCGGGTGGATGTTGATGATGTTTGAGTATCACAACACGTACCTGGATCACATCAAACCGGACTTGATGTGGATTCATGTACTTCCCATCGTTCAGCTTTTGCTGTATCGTCCCGAGGTCCATCGGTCGTTTGACTTTCTGGGAGTAGTTTTCCAATTCGCTAGTGGCTGTAGCGATGGGCTCTAGAAAGGGCCATGCACAGACATGTCCCGTGATATCCTGCCAAACACGCTCATGGCCCATCCCTTTCATCGCTCCGCTCCCACACCTTCAGGAGCGCTTTACACTCTGCCATCGGGCTGACAGCGATAGCACGACAAATCCTCATACTGAAGGTCGGAGGAGGAAGCTTCGCAGCCGGGGGTCGATTGTTGCTCCATTTCTTATAGTTGTTGCAAAATGCAGCTCCTGGCAAATTTTCGATGAGAGAAGTTATCTGTTCATATCCTTCTAGTCCAAAAAACTTCTCGCCGCTCATTTCACTGTAGAAACATCGTCACAGGCTCGTAGATGGAGCTAAGAATTTCCTTTCCTGCGAATTTTGACAGATACTTGCGATAATACTTCACTAGCATTATTTCCAGCCATCCTTTTCTCTGGATTATCAAGAGGAGTGATTCCTGCATCATTGTGAAAATTCAACTAAGTAAGCCTCACAATCCTTACGAAATAATGGTTGAGTGCCACAGTGCATTATCTCACAGGAAAATCTAGATGGTTTACCATCTTGACGAGTCTTGTAGGTCCTTATTGCCTGCACACATTCAAAGTCTCAATTGTGTTTTGATCAGCAGATCTGTAAAAAGATTGTACCCTGTACCCGACGGGGAAAATATGCGTTTCGTCATGAAAGTGTTTATGGCTTGTTATGATTTCACCCAAGCTCTCAAGAACTAGTTTTCCTTCTTCGTTGTATATTGGTAGAGAATATTCTCCTAGCAGGCGATTTGGAGCATCTATGCATAGTGTGTCAAAGCAGATTTTCCACAGAACTCTTGACCTTGTCTGTAAGAAGCGTTCTTTCCATTGTTGTACTGCAATTCTACCTTTTCCCATGATAGATAATGAGCGTCGCTCAATACGGATTGAGAAACATCATTCGTTTTTGCTAGATGCTCCAAAATCTAGAAATCGGGCAAAAGAGTTAGGCTTCTACTTCACTTGAAATTAGATCGAGTAGACCTCTTGCAATTTAGTGAATTTTTCTCCCGTTGGTGCTAGAAACAAGAACATCTTTGCATCATCAACGCTGTAAAAGAGAAAATATCTCATGGTTTCTCTATCAAAATCGCACATTCTACCTGGAATGCATGATGCGGCAAGTCCACCCCCGGATTTGGAGGTCTGGACCTCCAAAATTCAAGATCTTTGACCTTAATTCTATCATGGCACGGTCCTGAGTAATCTTTTCAGCTCCGTCGTCTGTTGCTGTTGGCGATGATTCATGAGTATCAGAGATCTTTCTCTTGTTCGATTTTGTGCCACTTCCATCTTGAGCTTGTGCCTCCAAACATACCGCATTTGAGAGACTGGCCCGATTTCCTGCAGCTTTCACAAGAGCAGCTGCTAGTTGAGAATCTTCAAGATCTTGGCTGTCAACTTCTACATCCACTTGTGTGACCGTCGTAGATGCAGCAGCAGTGGCATTCGAAATTGATCCTGCAGGTGTCAGGTAAGAACCCACGATCGATGCTTTTGAGCAGCACCTTCAACATCGCCCCCTTCACTGTCACTCGAGGTTGTCAGTCCTGAATCAGCCTGCGCACTCTTCATCGTGCGCCTTGATTGCAATCCTTTGCTCAATTCACAACACCGTTTGTCTCTGTTGCTCGTATCTTCACGGCATTGAACCTTCGGGGATTTCTGTTCGAACGAATTGCACCCAGCTCAAACACCTGCAACTACAAATTTCGTTCAGTGCCCCACCCTTTTCATTTCATTGAAAACATTCATGAGCTTTCTGATTTGTTGATCAATCAAAGCATATCTCGGATACAGCAGACAGCAAAATTCTTCAGCTTGGAGGTAACTACGCTGTTCAATACATACAGACATTGTTGTCAGGAGTGAAATTGCAGAATGCACTTTTAAGAATCAAGGACATCAATTTGGGAGATCATCTTGAGTGAATGGGATAATCATTCATGCGGATCTGTACATATTTTGTTCCAGGAGAGTGAGGTATGTATCAGTGAGCAAGGGTGCGGGAGGATGGTTCAGAGAGAATGGGAGGGTCGCATGAACACATTGAAGGGCATGAAGACTGCAGCTGCCCTTCTTCACTTCTACTCCATAGTCCGTGTATGTTCCGATGCCGCCATACTCCTTGCCGCACTCCCTCCCGCCATACTCATTGCCGCACAGCAAGGAGAACCCTCTGAGCAATTCGATGGGACCTAACTCATTTACAAATATCTATTTTCAAATTTGAATTTAACGAATGATATTTGGGCGATTATGAGCATAGAATCTGAAAAAGGAGTATTGTAGTAGCTATCGGTTCAGCGACGATGATGCCTGGGGAGCCACGTTGCTTTGACGCCATGGTGAGAGGAGAGGAGAGGAGAGGAAGGGAGCGGAGCGAGGAGACGAGCAAGGGAGCGGAGCGAGGAGACGAGCAAGGGAGCGGAGCGAGGAGACGAGCAAGGGAGCGGAGCGAGGAGACGAGCAAGGGAGCGGAGCGAGGAGACGAGCAAGGGAGCGGAGCGAGGAGACGAGCAAGGGGAGGTAGGCATAGCGGGATGAGGATTTCAATGGGTTGAAAAAGGGTAAACTTGTGAGATTGAATAAGAAGAGATCAAAGGAATGAGAGGGGAGGAGGGAGGAAGGAAGAGGGGAGGGGAGACTATCTGGTTGAGTAGGAAAAGAGAGCAGATTGCAGAGGCATCGGTAGGAGAAGTAAGCACAAAGATGCAAGATGGGCGAAGAATCGAGTATGAGGAGAAGCTGGAGAACTATCTACGAATAATGAATGGTGTATCTTATGACTTTGCACAGAATTCGCTCAATACATCAATAGAGTAAACTGTGATGAATCTTTAGTCGAATGTCAATTTCATTCAAAACTTACGCTCAACGGTCCATATGTAAAGAACAAGCTTTCACCACCATCTATGTACAGAACTTTCATTTCGATGTAGATCGCTCCTGCATCCTGAGACATTGCCAAGTCAAATGATGAACATGATGGCACGAGGACCTTCCTTGACTCTCTCACCTCAATAGCTTCACGAAACTCCTAGGATCAAAGCCTCGTCCAGACTTCTGCCTCTACACCCTCCAACTCACACTTGCGTTACAAGCATCATCATCACTTCCTGACCTGCAAGATCTCTTGGGGAATTCTCAAAACGCTGCTGCCCGTCACTTCCTCTTCGCTCAGCAGAGGATTCCTGCCGACGTTGAGATCCTCCAGTCTCTCGCATCTGTGCAACGCCATGGGGATCTAAAGTACCGAGACTCACACTAGCCTTCCCCAGCTCCTCTTCCTCTGCTTCTCTGCTCCGGCCCACCTGCCCTCATTGCTCCCTTCTCTTCCTTGCTCACCTCTTTGATCAAGTTGGAGAACAGGTTCAAGTACTGCAGGTACTTCAAATCTCCCACTGCCTGCAGAAGCACAAATTCATCTGGGACAGATGAGACGGACAAGTGATACCTGTGGAATCTCAGAGATTTGGTTGAAGGACAGAGCTAGCGTGACAAGTCTTGTGTGTTTTGATATGTAATCAGGAATGATTTTGATGTTGTTCCTGTCAAGAAATCGTCAGCACATTCGCTGCGCTCAGTACAACATTCATCGTTCCTTGACAGGGAGAGGGCTTCAAGGTACTTCATGTTACTCAGCGCATCCGGGATCTCACTGATCAAATTCCTATCCAAGTACAAGAAGGCCAGGACTGCACTTGCGATCAGACAAGGCTCACAAGAAGGACTAGGACTCGTTTACACTCATATTCTGGATTCTTCCAGATGACATTCGGAACCTGCAATGACGTCAACGTTCATCAAGATCAGCAAACGCTGACACCTGCTGGATCTCCTTCTCCTGCCAATTCAGGCTCTGCAACAAGAGGATGTCAGCGGGGGATATGCAGCGGCTGCCATGACCAGATGGCCTCGTTGCTCCTCTTTGTCCTCCTCGACTGGTTGCGCTGCTGTGCTGTCTGACCAGGAGCTCTCAGATGCAGTCAAAGACAAGCGTAAGGACCCAAGTGCGGGAGCTCGGCCGACTGAGCTTGCTGGATCCTCGAGGGGATGTCCTGGTCCTGTGACGGTTGTTAGGCAGACGTCGCAGGGGACGCGCGTCAGACGTGGTGGGGAGGGATGGAGATGTTGGAGGGACAGGTTTGTAGCTCAAAGCCCTGCCTCTCCGTCGGGTGAAACCTCCTGTCCCGGTGGAGCCTTTCATTCCGCAAATCTGCGCTCAGCCCCAGCACAGCATTCCGCTGGATGTGTCCGGCTTGTAGGCTGAACCAAAGTCAGCTGTGCTCTCACACACAGCCAAGGGATACTTGCTGATCCAAAGATGGACGTCACTTTTCGAGCTCGCTCGGAACGTCAGCGTTGTCCGCTCTAATATCACCTGAAACTTGCAGGTATCCTGCGGCCTTTGGGTTGAGACCTTGTACGTTGAGCTCGCAAGAGGAGGACGAGGACGAGGAGCAGGAGAAGGAGGGAGGAGGGAACAGGGAGGAGGGAGGAGGAGAACCTTGTCAGCCGTTAGCACGTAGATAATGCAGCTTCTGGTCATATCAACAATCCGAGCAGGCCTGGGGACGCAAATCTCTCAGACTCGCTTACGTCATCAACTCACTCACCTCATCCTCTCAAGACTGTCAGCGAGTGCGGCCTCCAGCTCCCCCACCGTCTTCTCAAGTCTCCTCGCCTTCTTCACATTCGCCTTTGACGTCGCGTCCGACCTCGCCTGCCGCTGGCGTCACACAACAGGCGAGAAGCTGACATGCTCGCCTTGATGGCAGCGATGCTCGAAGTCGCTGCGGAGAGGTTGTGCTCTATCGACTCCTTGTGATGCCGCAGCTTGACCTGATCGTCCCAGAAGAACTTGAGCTTGCCGTACACGTTCTCCTCGTCTGCCCACATCTCGTCAGACCTCATCTCGCTCGCTCTCGCTCTCTCTCTCAGACTTGCCGTACTGGCCCGAGCAGTACTGTACCCACACCTTGTCCCAAGTCCGACGCTCCTCCCCTTCTGTACGAACAAGTAGCCATCCTGCCGCAAGCAACTTAGCAACTCTACTCCCCCGCTCCTCGTACCTTGAAGGCTGATCACTTCCTCCATCTCTACGCGCCTTGCTCCTCCTCGGCCCTAGGCTGCAACATGGAAGGAGACTGAGGCTCAGGAGAGCTGCTGCTGCGTCTCATGGTGGGCGAGGAGCGAGCGGGTAGGAGCAATGGGGGCCCTACTCGAAAAGGATGGAAATGGAAATCTGGAGCGCTAGGGAAGGCCCAGGGGCAGGGGGGGGAGGGGAAAGAGAGAATCAGACAGGAAGGAGAACGAGAGGGATGATGAAACATGGAGGCAGACAACTTTGACACGAACAGTTCAAGTCAGCAGAATCACCCGACGGAACAGGAGCCAAGGGCATAGCACGACAGGGGTCAGGTGAAGGAGCATACACTGAGCCTTCGCCACGAGAGGTCGATCACGGATGGTTTACTATCCTTGTTTCACGCTTAAGAATATGCGGATGCAACGTGGAGATGATCAATCCCCACGCGGACGTCTTTGACCCTTTAGTTCACGGTAGACTCGCGCGAGTAGAACTCATCAAGAATCTTTCCGTCGATACGCTGCAAACCAAGTGAGCCAAACAAGAAAAGGAGGAGCTGCTTGGTACCTTCAACATTTCCCTAGGGAAAGTGCGGCAAAGTCCCCATGCAATATCCAGAGAGGTGAAGATATCACGCATCTCATACGATCCCTGGCATAAGTCAGCCTCGGAATCCAACCATTCCGGTCAAGGCCACACCTGAGCAAGGAAGCGCTCCTCGAACTTGGTAAGGAACTCCAAGTACAAGAGATCGTCGGGAGTCAAAGCTTCCTCTCCGACGACAGATTTCATAGCAGCAGTATCCTGCCATCCCGTCAGCCCACTCCCTCCCGACAACTTTTCTCGACACCTTCCCGATAGCGTAGTTGGCGTACATCTGGTTGGACAAGGCGTCGTGGTCCTTGCGAGTCATACCCTGACAAGGAGCATGAGTGGGAGGAGCTAGCAAGACCGCCGCTTACCTCTCCGATGGCGCTCTTCATAAGACGAGACAAGGAAGGCAACACGTTGATGGGAGGATAGACCTGCCTGTTGTGAAGATGCCTGTCGATGTACACCTGCCAGCACTCCTCTCAACATTGTATTGGGTCGTCAGGCTTGCCAACCTGTCCCTCAGTGATGTATCCAGTAAGATCAGGGATAGGGTGAGTAATATCGTCGTTGGGCATGGTAAGAACAGGAATCTGGGTGATCGACCCGTTGCGCCCCTGACAACAAAATGAGAACCAACGAGGATCAGCGTGTCAATCTCACCTCAACACGACCAGCTCGCTCGTAGATGGTGGCCAAGTCAGTGTACATGTAACCAGGATAACCACGACGTCCGGGAACCTCCTCACGAGCAGCGGACACCTGACAACATGCATGTCATCAACCGTGAAAGACACACCCCAAGGATAGACACACCTCACGAAGGGCATCGGCGTATGAGGACATATCAGTCAAGATAACCAGAACGTGCTTGTCGCACTGTAGAACCCGTCAGTATTCACGTCATACGCTCTCTACCATCGGACCTGGTAAGCAAGGTACTCGGCAGTGGTCAAGGCAAGACGAGGGGTGATGATACGCTCGATGGTAGGATCGTTAGCCAAGTTCAAGAAGAGGCACACGTTCTCCATAGATCCGTTCTCCTCGAAGTCCTTCAACGACCAGTCAGCCCGGTTCAACTCGCACTTCACGGGCGTACTTGTTTGAAGAAGCGAGCAGTCTCCATGTTCACACCCATAGCTGCGAAAACAATGGCGAAGTTGCTCTCTCCGTGATCGGCAGCGCCCTGTTAACTCATGTCAGATATGAAATGTTTGAATTCAGAGGATCCGCACCTTGGCTTCCTTCTTCACGAGACCAGCTTGACGACAAATCTGTGACGATCTTAGCGCATAACCTCACACGGAAGAAGAAGCATACTTGAGCAGCAATCTCGTTGTGAGGCAAACCGGCGGCAGAGAAAAGGGGAATCTTCTGACCGCGCGCAATGGAGTTCATGGTGTCAATGGCCGAGATACCTATTCGCACTTAGTTCTATCCGACACACAAGTTTGTTAGTACCAGTCTGGATCATTTCCTTGGGGTAGATACGAGAGGCAGGGTTGATGGGCATACCCATAATGTCAAGGTAATCCTCGGGCAAAACAGGGGGACCCTAAATTCAACAATCAATCAACCATCAGAGTTTCTCTCGCCGCAGTTGCTTCACCTTGTCAATTGGCTTTCCAGATCCGTTGAAAGTTCTTCCAAGCATATCTTCGGACACGGGAATCTTCAACACCTCGCCAGTGAACTGAACAGTGGTGTTCTTGTTGTCGATGCCGCTGGTTCCCTCGAACACTTGCACAACGGCCTTGTTTCCGGAGATCTCCAAAACCTGGCCACGCTTCTCGTCTCCGTTGCCGAGCTTGAGGGTAACAATCTCGGCATATTTGGGGAACTGAGCAGAGACGTCAGTGAGACAACTGCTGTACTGACGTATGAGGCTAGCCTGACCTTCACTTTGTTGAGGATGACGAGAGGACCTTGCACAGCCTTCACGGTCTTGTACTCTACATAGTGAGTAAGAAACTTTCTTTGCCAACAGCGCTATCAACGGTCACTTACCAAGGCGAGGCTTCACGACGTAGTTCCTCACAGCAGCAGCAGCCTGACAGCTCAAGTCAGAAGATCGACAAGAGCTGCAGCCACAGCGATGTCGCGCACCTGAACTGCTGGAGCAGCCTTGGGCGGAATGGTGGATCCACCCCCGAAATCCAAATCGATCAAAGACATGTCTGCGCAAGAGGAGCCTTTCAGAACTTCGAGATAGATTAAAAAGTTAAGACGTTCACAGTATGCCAAAGGAACATCCCGCCTTACTATATCTACAACTTGCACAACGAAAAATTACGACATGACAGACATGAGCGATTCGTGAGCCCTGTCAACCATCTCTAAATGCGCTGAATGAAATAAGCTTTGCTCCTAAGAACATTACATAATTGGGATGTGCTCTCGCGTTTGGGGATTGCACCTATCAAAGAACAAGAGTTGAAGGTTCCTAGTATGTACACGTACGCACGCTCAGTCATTCAATCTGGATCAACATGGTAGCGCCGTGAATTGTGAAGAAGAAGAGAGAAGAGGGGTGCAGGGAGCACGGAGAGGCAGGAAGCATCTGGTTGACAAGCACTGGCGCAACGCGGCATGGCGAGGGCGAGAAGCGACGGGGGAACATTGTCATCACGCAGGGGGAAGGTCGGCATGAGAGGCAGCGGGCGAGGAGGAATACCTCAACCAACTTGGCATTTCGTAAAACATACATTTTAGTTGGTATGGACAATTGATTGCAATATACCTTTTAAATGACAGATCAACAACTAATCCTGATTTTATTATACAAAAAAGCATTTATAAAATATCGTTTTGTACACGAAATGGATAGGATCTCTAGCTTATCAAATATTTTCAATACTGATTATTTATAAATGTTTTATCAATATCAAAAACTTTACTCAAGTTATTATAATTAAGTACTGAGAGAATTGGTATGCCTAAAGGGTGTAGGAGTTCTAGACACGCCAACTTGGAATGGGAACTGAATTTGGTCTTCTACGCCCCGGCAGTTTTACATCTGTATGGAGTTTTTAATATTAGTACCAGAGTTTTAAAAAGAGAGAAGATTTTTTTTTCATTGAAAGAGAGGGGACTAGTCTGATATCACAAATAAATATTATAAAAATTAACTGTATTTTATTGTACAAAAACAATGTACTTTTTTGTATGAACTATAATGTTTGTTTATACACAGATAGTTGCTGTTGTATCATCATAATAATGTTTTATCGCCTACCTCTGGAGCAGAAAAATACTTATTAAAAATACTGACCGTTATCCTTGATTGTAATGTAGTAACGGAGGTGTGGTTCACCGGCTTTCGCGGATTTCTCTCAAGATTGACCCGACAGTATGAGGATTCAAGTCAAGTATGAAGATCAGCAGCGGTCGTATGGCGAAGGAGCAAGCAGACGTTGCGACTCAGTATGACCAGAGAGTCAGCGACAGCTGGCAGTAGCATGACGATGAAGAGTGAACGGAAGGACATGGAGGGGGCTTTGCGCCAGATGAGAAGAGATAGGAATTAGCTTGTTGAACGCTACTTTTACCTGAGACGAAGCCACGTTGAGGTGCGACTTCGTGATAAGGGCGAAGATTCGAGCCTCAGATCGGGCAGAAAGAGAGGAGGGCAAGAAGCATGGGACCAGACTCTGACAGGAGCTCATGTAGGTGCTGACCTGGAGCCTCCCTACATGCTCTCACCTAGCAGGTAAAGACTACATGCTCCTGCAGCTTTGATGTGTGACCCGTGTGATGGAAGGGGGGCAAGGATCCTTGCGGATGGCAGGACTGCCATCAGCGAGCTAGACAGGAGCACAGTACAGGCGAGCAAACGAATCGGCGTTGCAGGAGCATCGTCACTGGGTATGGAGACTGGGTGGGGGAAGAAGCTTGCTCCTAAATGTATCTGGTCAGTTTTCTTCGAGGTGACAGTGATCAGGAGCAAGGGATGTATCGTCGTAGGATTGGCGGTACAACAGCTCAGGATCCAACGCCCTGCTCTCCCTCACCCTCGTGCTGGCAGAGGTACAGCCCGACAAACGCGCAAGGGTGGCTCTTTCATAGCAAGTCGATCTCGTACGGGGCAGGTGAGATTAGAAACATGTTCAGCATGCGAGGGATCATGTGGCTGCAGAGCCAAATTGCCTCGAACCTGTCAGCCATTCGTCTTCCAAGACGGGGAAATCTTCGACGGGGCCCCTTGGCAAGAAATTTGCCCATGTCCCTGCAGTGTCGCAGTTCTGACGGTCCAGCAGTGGCCGGTGACGTCATCATCTGTGGTGTGCGAACTATCCATGGGTCCTGCTCCTTTCCTCTCCCCGTCCTCTATCGACTTGACGGGCTGCGCTGCCAGGGGGTCGGCAGAGATCTTCTTCAGTCGCAACGGGGTCCAGGAGGCGTCAGTACGGGACACAGAAGTTATCAATCAGTTGACCAGCTCGACGGAGTCTTCCTTTCTGTACCCGACAGTCCAAGTCCATGTCGACTGAGTCCGGTCGTCCCGCTGACGGGCCCGCAGATCTCCGACGGAGAAGTCGTCGTCATCGAGACATCCGATGATGTGCAAGGTAGTCGAGCTGCGCAGAGCAGAACGTCCCGAGTCGATCACGGTGGACTTGTCTGCACACCATCAGTTGCCATCGACTCAGGTGGACCTGCCAGTATGGCAGAAGTCTTGGATGATGCAGCCTGTAGGAATAGGAGGCTCCCTCTACCTTGGAGAGTACAAGGCGGAGGTAGAGCCCTGTCGCTACGCTGATAGCAGTTGAATCGTGATTCAGGTCTCGGTCAACCATGATGTCATGACGGCTGATTTCAAGTCAAGGTAGTGCTCCTGTGACCTGCTCATCTGCTGCTCCTGGTTGTCGAGAGTTTCTGACTTGTTTCCTGCTCGTGCTCTTCGTTCCTTTCGATCATCTCACTATCTCCCCGACGTTTCTCGGCCTCTTCCGCGCTTTCGATCTTTGCGCTCAGCATGGACGCGTCTCCCAACCATGCAGCAGAATCAGCCGTGTTTGTGGCGGAGAAGGCAAGTAGAACTGTCAAGTTTTGAGGGTTCAAATTCTCCAAGGTACTCGAGAAGACCGTCATTCATGGACAGCTGGACTGGAGCTCGACCTACTTCGAGGTCACCATCCTCCTGGCAGACAAGGACGAGGAGGAGCCCTGTGGCGTCGATGTCTACGTGGGGCTCTTTGAGGGGACCTTGTCGACTGTTGGGTACTTCATCTCCTTCTCCTTCTCCTTCTCCTTCGCTTTCTCCTCCTCCTCCTCCTCCTCCTCCTCCCTCTCCTCGTCGGCTCTACCTCTCTTCCACCTCATCTTTCCTCCCCCTTCCTGCACCTCCCTATCATTGTCAACCTTGTCGTCATCATCAGCTGAAAACTTTGCAGGGGATGGCCCGGGATCCGACCCAACTCGTACTCTCTCCGGGTATGCCTGCTCCTGCTACTCTCACTGCAGGCGCGCTGCTGAACCTTGCGGGATAGGGGAGGGACGGTGTGCTGCACTTCAACGACGGGGTGGAGGAAGGTGAGGAGGATGCGGGGGAGGCAACTCGTGCGACTGGAGCCGCAGGGACGACGAAGATGGAAGATCGAAGCAAGGAGGGCACGAGATGGACGTTCGCAGCTGGGGACATCGTGGGCTGTGGAGTGATCAGGTCGACAGGGCAGGTGCAGCGAGTCTGTGTTGCTGTGGGAGTTAAGTTTCCTTCTTGCCGTGCAGCTCTTTTTCACCAAGAATGGCACATGGGTGACCGTCGCTTCTCCCTCCTCTCTCCCTTTCTTCCCTCTCTCCTCTCCCTTTCTTCCTCTCTCCCTTTCTTCCTCCTCCTCTCTCCCTTTCTTCCTCCTCCTCTCTCCCTTTCCTCCTCCTCCTCTCTCCCTTTCCTCCTCCTCCTCTCTCCCTTTCTTCCTCCTCCTCTCTCCCTTTCCTCCTCCTCCTCTCTCCCTTTCCTCCTCCTCCTCTCTCCCTTTCTTCCCTCTCCCCTCTTTCCCTCCTCCTTCACCTGTCCTCTACTCTCTCATGGCCTCAATTCCCTCGCTCCTCGCTCCCTTCTCTACTCAACTCTCTCCTTCCTCCTCCTCCTCCTCCCCTTTGCCCAGATCATTCTCCTGTCCTCGTTATCCTTGGCTTGCTCTCTTGTTCTACAGTCTTTCCGGCTCTCTCCCTTGCTATTCTCCATCCCCAACCATTCCTTCAGATTCGCTTCCTCCTCGACACTCCCTTGAAGCCTAATGCGCAACTCACCCCAGCATGTGCCCTTCGGACGTCGGTAAGGCCTCTACTCTCGTTCTCGTGTCATGCTCGCTTGCAGGGTGTCGTTGCGTTCAACGTGGGGCAGAGGAGGTTCTGCTTCGATTTCGCTCCTCTCACTGCGCTGGGTTCAAACTTGGTCTGATGTGTGACTTGCTAACATGCTGGCAGTGTCTTCGGGCAAGATAACCAACTCCTCCTCCTCCCCTACTGGTTCAGATGGCAAGAACCCAGACAGCCGTCTGTCTCCTCGTGGAGCTGGTGAAGGGTTGAGGTTGACAACCTGCCTTCGCGCGTGTCATCGGAGAGGGTTTGACATGTTTTTTTTTCCTTGGCCAACAGGTCGGTGACTGATCGCAAGATGTGCATCAAGTGCTTTGAGAAGACTTCGGGTCACTTTGCAATGTCGCTATGGAAGTCTTACACTCAGTGAAGATATGCTGGGAGAACCGTGCATATCGTGCAGGTCGAAGCAGATGTTCAAGGACGGGGAGCAAGAAGGCAGAGGCGCTGTGCAGGTTTGTACCTCTTTCCGCTGACGGAGGATCTTTGAGGTTCATCATGGACAGGAGGGCGACACAAGTTTGCTGTCATCGATCAGGCCTGACGACGACGGAGCAAACGAGTCTCAGCAGACAAGACGGTAGAGCAAGAGGAATTGCTTAGTCGAGATGTGACTGACTGTTTGATGACACAACTAGCAACTTATTCTCCATGACAAGTGACAAGGGCAACAACAGCAGTGGCGTGAGCGTTTTTCTCACCTCAGGTCTCTCCGCTCAATGTCCCGGCGGGAGCTGACCGGCAAGAAAGGTGGGAGGCTGATCAGTTTCTCGGGGTCGAAAGTACATGAAGAATTGTATTCGACACACCTCAAGGGTAAATTCTCAAAGACACGCTGTGCTGATTATCTTGCTGTTTCTTGCTGTCTTGCCTTCTTTGTACGCCCTTGCTCTTGTGCTTGACGCGTGGAATGGACAGGGTTCAACAGACTTGAGGACAGTCTGTTGAGATTGGATCAATCTCGACAGAGGAACGGCAAAGGTGAGGATTTACAGCAGAGAACCAGCGCTGTAAGCTCTGCCGTCAACAACAGTATGGCTCACGATTTCTTCCGTGAGACTGTTGACATCGTTCCTATCAGACCAGGAGGAGGAAGAGAACGAGGAGGAAAGGGGGGAGGAGGAGGCTTCCTTCAACATCCCAGACAGATCATCTGACTTGTCTGTGGAGAGGATCGTCGAGGAGAAAGATCGCAAGTGAAGTTCTGCTGAGAATGTCGTTTTTCCTCTCATCCGCGAGCCTCGTCGGCAGGTTGAAGCAGGTAGAAGACGCTCTTGACAAGTCTGCAAGGATAGCCTACCAGGAGAGGTCAGGGCCTCCTCCTGACCCCAGCTCGATTGACTGTGTCTGCCAGGACTCTCCGGATGCAGCTGGAGTTGGAGGTCAAAGAGCTGAGAGAGCAAGTCTGGCAAGGAATATGATGGCTGCCTTCTTATCTCTAACTGCAGTTGTACTTGACTTGTGGTCCTGATCCCTCCAGGTTGTCCTCCTCCCAGTCCTGATGGAAAAGCTGACAGCATTTCCTGCAGACGTCAAATCGACAAGGCCGACGACGAGGAGATTGCGAGGGTTGACATGTGCACCATCTCTCGAAACTTTGACACGTCGGTTTCAAGTCCTCGGAAGCTTTTCATATCATCACGCAAGAGCTGTCCACAAGAAATCAAGAGGTTGAATGACAAAGTCTCATGTCCTGTGTCTTCTCCCCTCTGCATAACCAGATGTATCTCTTCTCTCCTTTGTTCTGATTCACTTCTGCGCCATCTCTGCTTCATGAATGAACAGCTGGAGGAAGTGAAGGAAAGCAACCGAATACTTTCAGAGAGGTCAAACTCGACAAAGCCCTTGTCTTCTTCTACCCCCCTCATCTCAACTCCTCCTCCAGGATTTCTTTCCTCGAGGCCGAGAACCAAGAGCTAAAGAACAACCTCAAAGACCTTGTAAGTCCTCGACTTTCCCCTGCCTCCTCTTGACTTCCCGCTGTACCAGACTAGAACTCCTCGTACCCCAGCGAGCGAGGCCTCGTCGACGCACGTTGACCCTGTTCTCCTGCTCTCCCTCTGCCTTCCTCCACGGCTGATGACCTGAAGCAGCACACGAGCGAGACCGACTCTCCCACCATCCTTCGTCCCACCAGGCACCCCCAAGGCCCGTTGGACAAGACCTCTATCAAGCGATGGAGCAAACCTTTCACAGTCTCCTTGACTAGACAGCCGCCCACCAAACCTTCCGTTGAGTCTCTCAACAAGACCGTGACAGCGGGGCAGCCGGACAAGTGCGGAGTCGGGGTGATGCTGATAGTGAACCCGGCGACCAACGTGACCCCATGCTCTCTCCCTCTCTCCCTTCATGTCATGCTGTGCTGAACCAGGTTGTCAATGTGACCTCCGTCGTTCCCGGTAGCTCCCTACCTCAAAACATCTCCTCCTCCTTCTCGTGCTCCGCCTTCTTCTCTTCCTCTTTCTCTCTACCACCACCACAATCCTCCTCCTCCTCCTCCTCCTCCTCCTCCTCCTCCTCCTCCTCCTCCTCCTCCTCCTCCTCCTCGTGGTCATCGACATCATCTTCATGGCACAGGGAGCGCGGCGCATGTAGACGGCAGGATCATGGCAGGTGGGATCAGAGTTGTAGCTGGGAACTCTTGACGCGTGAGAATCAAGGAGACGTCCTGATGGCGGTTGACGGACATTCGCTGAGGTGAGCTCATCGATGATACAGCTGAGACCTGAGAAATCCCGGCAGGCCCGACCTGAGGCCGAAGCTGGACGACGTAGTGAAGAAGATCGTCGGAGGGCCAGGGACAGGTGGCAGCACTTTGACAAGCTGACGCGTCTGATATGACAAGCCGCAGTTGTCAACCTGACCCTCTCTCGACCTGAGACAACTGAGGTGCTTGCTCTTGCGAGGTCTGCTTGAGAGACATGTCTGCCAGGTCTCTCCTCCTTCGCTCCTTCCCTCGCTCGTTCCCCCATCAGTCACCGCAGTTTGATCTCGATCACATTGGAAAGCTGATCTGCTTGAGACGCGAGCTTGCTTTAAACTCTTCCTATATCCTACCTGCATACCGAGTTGGCGTCTGTAGCTATATCGCTGAAGGAACTGAAACCTGATGCTTCAATGCTCGTCCTTGCTCATTGCAACACATCTTGACGAAAACTGAGAAAGTCTCGGTCTGGTCTTGTTTGTCATGCATTCGACGTTCGAACACAATCATATTGTCACATGGGCATACTCAAAATGATCTACCGCTCTGTCGCTCAACGAGCGCTCGTCTAACGCCTCCTCTTTCAGAGCTTTTCTGATCTCTGATCGTCTTCAACAACCCTATGAGGAAGAGAGAGAGAATAGGTAGGAATTGCAGTAAGATCATGAAACACAAAAGTGCGATTGAACTCCCGCTGCTACTCCCGCGGGAGCACGTTAGCCTTGGAATGATCCAAGCATAAGGTCGCGGGCCGTCGAAGCAGGAGGACGCGGGCCGTGGCCTCGGGTCCTCCTCGGAGTCCTGCGGGAAGGAGGAGCCGTGAAGGAGGGAGCTGGAGGCGGTGGGTGACGACGGGGAGGAGGACGGAGACGAAGGGCGGCAGATCGAGGAGGCTGTAGAGGCCATGGTATGCCAAGCGCTTGGCCAGCAGGACTGGGAGTCAGCCGGGGAGAGGGGGGAGGGAGAGGAGGGAGGAGGGCATGGTTGAGGGAAGGGAGAAGTAGGGAAGGAGATAAAGAGGTATCGGGGACACGAGGGAAGTACATTTTATCGGACGCAGTGGTAAGTTGTAAATAGTCCAGCACGCGATCAGCGCCATCTACGCGTTTTGGATGAACTTTCAAAAGCAGTCTGGCTCGTTTGAGGTGGCGATCACTGATATGAGTGAGGGCCAGTGGTCAAGCTACATCATCCACACCTTGCCAGCAAAAGCAACATTACAACCAGTTCCCCATGTCGTCTAGCGAGCAAGCGCAGGCAAAGATTTCTATCCCAGTCAGCGTTTGTGTCATATATATATATCCTTTACTGCACACTCCGTACGCCTGTCTCACTGGCATAGCGCTACATCGTGAGATCGTCGAAGTCCCGCTGCTCTCCTCCATGCATCATCGCCGCCTCGTGGTGCAGCTCCAGCCCGACTTGTCTGTTCCGAAGCTCCCGCACTCGTCGCGCCTCCCGGCTCATGACCGTCTGCTGCTCGCCATGAGGCGCGGGGCGACCTTGACGGCGCCTGAGAGCTGCGCGCTCCCCTCGGCGGTACACGGAGGGGGCAGGGAGGGGCGTCGGGTAGTCGAAGGAGGAGGGGGCAGCAGAGGGGAAGGAGGAGCGGTGAGGGAGGGGCGAGGTAGAAAAAGGATGGCCCGAGGCTACAAGGATTATTTCAGGACTCATGCAAAAAGACGCGGGCCGTGGCCTCGGGTCCTCCTCGGAGTCCTGCGGGAAGGAGGAGCCGTGAAGGAGGGAGCTGGAGGCGGTGGGTGACGACGGGGAGGAGGACGGAGACGAAGGGCGGCAGATCGAGGAGGCTGTAGAGGCCATGGTATGCCAGGCGCTTGGCCAGCAGGACTGGGAGTCAGCCGGGGAGAGGGGGGAGGGAGAGGAGGGGAGGGAGGAGGGCATGGTTGAGGGAAGGGAGAAGTAGGGAAGGAGATAAAGAGGTATCGGGGCATTACCACAGGTAGAAGGCGCTGATCACATGCTGGACTATTTACTACAGGCACAGCATCACGTTATCCACTCTTTAACACGTTCTGTTTCCCTAATTTCGGAATCATTCTCCGTACCCCTTGTATTCCCCTGTTCGAACACCCGTGCTTTCGTCTATCACTTTACACTCGTTATATTGCTATTAGTGCGGAAAATGTACTTATCGTGGCATTTCCGGCAAACGCATTGATGCCCCTTCAACAGAACAGTCGTGTGTGACATGAGCTCGTTTTCGCAGTCCGTGCTGGCTGACATGCAGTCCTCCTCTGCTCTCCCTCCGCTCCTCTCATCAGTTGTACTCTTCGGATCCCCTTGAGATCATCTCAGAGAGGCCGACGTAACCATCCTGATCATGCTGCCGCAGAATCTTTTCCGTCCAACCCTTGCCGAGCTCTAGCCGAGCTCTAGCCACCGAGCTCTAGCCGAGCTCAATAATAGAGGACATAAAGGTGGGGACAACAAGGTTCAATGAGCGATGACGCTCCGAAACGTGCGGTCAGACTGTGAGCTTCAGGCGGACGTGGCAATGAAGAAGCAGAGGTCGAGAGAGGCTATGCAGAGGTCATTGTGGAGTATCTAGGAAGGAGCGACCGAGTATGAGAGGTTGTGGGTAGAAAACAAGGGGTGGGGTAAGGGGGGTGGGAGCTTGAATAAAATAGTTCAGTCTTTTGGAGCCGGACCGAAAGCCGCGAGATCTTGTCTTGCTAATTGTCTTGACTCAATCTGTAATCGGTTTCATAGCAGCGTTTCTGATTGAGCTTGCGGAAAGTGCCTGTAAAGCTCTGACAGAATATCAAGACAAATAAATCCAAATAATCCCTGACAAGATTCGGATAACAATCAGAATCAGAGTTGGCTAGGTGCAGGTATCACTTGGATCCTTTAATCAATGTACCCTCATCTCCTCTATAGCGTAAGCTCGTCGAAGTCCCGCTGCTCTCCTCCATACATCATCGCCGCCTCGTGGTGCAGCTCCAGCCCGACTTGTCTGTTCCGAAGCTCCCGCACTCGTCGCGCCTCCCGGCTCATGGCCGTCTGCTGCTCGCCTTGAGGCGCGGGGCGACCTTGACGGCGCCTGAGAGCTGCGCGCTCCCCTCGGCGGTACACGGAGGGGGCAGGGAGGGGCGTCGGGCAGTCGAAGGAGGAGGGGGCAGCAGAGGGGAAGGAGGAGCGGTGAGGGGAAGGCAGGGGAACGGATGTTTCATTGGAGTCTTGATTGTGGGGTGAGGATCGAGCTGAGTTGGGGGACGCAGGTCGCGGCACGTTGTCGAGATCGGCCACTTGAGGGAAGGAGATTTCCAGGGAGCTAGAGGAGGCAGGGGAGGCTGCAGAAGATGAGCAAAGGGAGGATGAAGAGAGAGAAGGAGAAGGGGGGCAGCAAGTTGAGAGCAAAGTAGAAGCATCAATGGCCTCCAACTCGCTGAACCAGAGCGATGCGGAAGCTCGCGTGGTTGGCGAAGCAGGGCGTGAAAGGGGCATGGAAGGGAGTGCGTGGGTGCTGAGATTTCCGCTGTGGCAGATAATGAAGCAGTTTTTGAATTTACTACAGGGTTCAGTTTCTGATCACGAGGCATGCTGACACATGAAAGCGACGGTCATGTGCTACGAACACGGAAAGAGTTATTCAGGTAGGGTGTAGTAAAGGCCGGCGCTTTCTGCTCTGCCATGGCGAACTTCTCCGTATCAAACTTGCAGCCGGCCATATGCTAATTTGACAGATCGATTGAAGACTCACTTCAACAGCTAATGATCATCTCAGGCCCAGAAATTTGCGGTCAACACGTGAGCTTCTGTGGATGAAGAAGCGGAAGTCAAGAGAAACGTTGAAGAGGTCGTTCAGGAGTAACCTAGGAAGGGCACGAGAGCAGCCGGTTGTAGATAATGCAGGATGGAATAAATGCGTGGGAGATAGCAAATGAGAGCTAGACGACTATGCCCATCGCCAAGGCGTTAGCACGTAGCGTGTGGCGGAAAATAAACTCGACGATGAAAGCAAGAATTCAATGAGTGTGGGAGAGTGAAATGCACGTAGAGCTTTCAAAAAGAACATGACGTGGATGCAAAGCTGACTACAAATCTCAGGCATCGATTAGTTTGGCTTGCCTTCATAAGAAATAACATTATGTATGACATATCTAAACTAGCTATATTTCTTGGACTGCCAATGAATTCTGAGTTGCAACGAAAAGTGATCCAAACCCTGCTGCTCTGCTTGATGCTGTGATGTATGAGAGACGGGAGTAACGATGAAATACAGGAAGCAAGTTGCCGTCAACGATGTTGGGTCGTTGGCTGTGGTCTTCGTGGAAGGAAGAACGCTCCGAGCTAGGTAGGCGACACGTTGGTCAATCATTACTACAGGAAGAAGTCGCTGTTCACGAGGCACGCTGACACATGAAATACAGATCTTTACAGGAGAGAGAATACGGTCCGTGATCATTTACATGAGACGACCCCAGCATGCATCTCTTGGTAAGTAGTAAAAGCCTGTATGAGACTTCCCATGTGATCAAGGAACTTGCTGACAACCTCCCTGTAGTAACGCCGAAACCCCCTTCATAATTCACAGTCCACCGCGGTCTTCCCTACGTGAGATGTGCTCGTCCCATCCTTCCCCTGCGACCACCCCCAACCCCACCCCCTCTGCCTCTCCTGCCGCCTCTAGCTCACTCTCCCACTCCTCCTTCCCTGAGATCGCCGACATCGACTCGAAGCAGCACCAGGCTTCCTCTCCCCATGAGTTGCCCTTACTCCTCGCTGGAGCCAGTCATCTTCCTTCCTTCTCCCTCCCCCCTCATCGCTCCTCCTTCCCCTCTGCTTCATCCTACTCCTTCGACTACTCGACGCCCCTCCCTGCCCCCTCTGTGTACCGCCGAGCGGAGCGCCGTCAAGGTCGCCCCGCGCCTCATGGCGAGCAGCAGACGGTCGTGAGCCGGGAGGCGCGACGAGTGCGGGAGCTTCGGAACAGACAAGTCGGGCTGGAGCTGCACCACGAGGCGGCGATGATGTATGGAGGAGAGCAGCGGGACTTCGACGAGCTGACGATGTAGAGAGGAGAAACAGGAAGTGTGACTCTGGAGTTGAAAGTTGTATTAAATTGTGATGTACATGACATCTGGCCATGGCAAGTCGCGCTCCCTTGTTCTGTACTTGCAAAAATTCTTCATATTCTCCATCTGTTCTCTTGCTCATTTCGTTATGATCGGCTCTCACATGGAGTTGAGAATAAGTACTCTTTCAAGGTTCCCCTCTGCGTCCCACGATGAGCGATCAGACGAAACATGAGGTTTTCAATCAAGACAGAGATGCTGACAAGGGCGACTAGACCCGTTCCTTCCCTTCCACTTGCACCTTAGTTGTCAGCTCATCCGGCCAATCTTCCCGAAGAGGTCTCAAGACGGCCGAGCACATCAGGAGTTAGAAGTTGAAATCATGGTTCCCTTCAGGTGCTTGTACGTCTTGATCAGAGAGGTAGTTGTCGGCGTGAATGGGCGGAGAAACTTCGTCCTGCCACAGCTGCTGTACACGCCCATCTGCAAAGTTGATGTGAAGAGGAGGAGGCTGAGGGTCGGCCTCACCTCCTTGAAACGACTCTTCCTGGTTTTGGTGCTGCACAGCAGGCTCCTCGTGGATGCCTGAAACAACATGAGCATCGCGTAGACCACAGACATCATCATTTCCATCATCATCATCGTCATCATCATTATCATCATCATCTTCATCATCATCATCATCATCATCATTATCATCATCATCTTCATCATCATCATCATTATCGTCATCGTAATCTTCCATCATAAATTCCATCATCATCACCATCGTCATCATCATCGTCATCATCATTTCCATCATCATTTCCATCATCATCGTCATCATCATCATCGTGATCATCATTGTCATTGTCATCGTCATCATTTCTATAATCATCATCATCGTCATCTTTTCAATCATCGTCGTCGTCATTATCATCATCATACCATGCATCCTTGAAAGGTGACGGGAGAGAGTATTCTTGTCAATGAACAGCTGCAGAGGGCGATTAGGATCGTCCGAGAGAAGGTGACTGAAATACCTTTTGACATATGCTACACACCACCTTCAGCTCGTTGGGGAACCTCTTTCTGTTCTTCTTGTTTTCCTGCAAGTTCGAGTACACAACCGTCATGACGCCAACAATGAAAGAGATATTGCCTTTGCTTTCTTGACCTTCTCAGCGGCGAACAGTTGTCTCACCCAGTCAAGGCACTGCACGACTGACTGGCTGGTGAGCAACGAAGCAGAAAGGAGAAGGGAAGAAAGGAAGAAGGAGTTTGAGGAGGCAGGATGCAGAGAATCGAAAGAAAGAGCAAGAGACGCAGAAAGGAGAAGAGAAATGCAGATAAAAGAGATGCAGGAGCACCAGCAGGATGGAAAGGAGCTTGAGAGAGCAGTGCGATCGCCTTGTCAAACTCCTTCTTGACGCTGCGGAAAGTCACGAGACTTGTTCATAACTCGCGCTTCCTCGCACCTTGCGAGCAGAGTCGCGTAGTTGCATAGAGTGCTGATGTGACCGTGATCGTTGCTGAGAGCTCTCTTGTACATCTTGGACAAGATGTCAAACTCTTCCCACTTCTCACTGCTCACCTGCTCCGCCTTCGTGTGATCCTGCCGGACGTTTTGAAGGAAGAGTCCATAGTTGCAGAGCGATGTTGCATCCGTTGGCTCCTGAAGGAAGAGTCGTTAGGGAGAAACGAGAGGAGATGTCAAACTCCGACGTGCTCTAGAGCCTTTTGATACATGAACTCAGCCCCATCGTAGTCCTGACGGACATTCTAATGTTGAGAGATCGTTCAGCGAGAAAGAAATAAGTGGAAGAGGAGAGGATGGGAGGAAGGGAACGAAGGAAACAGGAATGGAAGCAGGGAGCGAGGAAAGGAGGAAGGGAGGAGGTGCAGGAGAAGAAAGGAGGAAGAGGATCATCTTCTGTGCTCAACAGATGAAGCACTCGATTGTGCGTCTTGTTGCCGCTGCTTCTGACCTTGAGCAGAAGTCCATAGTTGCAAAGAGTGGCGGCATCGGTCGGGTCGCACTCCAGGGCCTGTGGAGCTGCATGAAGAAGACAAGCAAGCAAGCAAGCAAGCACCTGTTTGTAGATCTTCTCAGCAAGATCATACTCCTTCCTGACATCGTGCAATAGGGTCCTACGATACGATGCCATCACTGCAAGTTCAACATCATCGATGAGATCGATTGCCCGTAGTTGCACAGAGCTCCGACGTCCGTCGGGTCGAGCTCGAGCGCGTGCTTGTAAAGTTTCTCGGCCCCATCCCAGTCCTTATAACAGCATCAACACCACGAGGAGGAGGATGAGGATGACTCAGTGAGGAGGAGGAGGAGGACTCATTGCCTGTCTGACAGTCTTGAGCAACCCGGCATAGTTGTAGATGGTTGTGATGTGATGAGGATCAATCTGCATCCCGTCAGCCTACCTCAGTCTCCCTTCCCAACACCTGTAGCGCTCGTTTGTAGTAACTCTCCGCCATGCCGTAATCTCCCTTGACCTCCTGGCCCGACTCAGTCAGACAAGAGCACACAAACTTTTTCCTCCGTCTCCTCGCCTGCAGCAGAGTCCCGTAGTTGCAAAGTGCCCCCACATGCTGAGGGTCTTGCATGAGAGCGCGCTTGAACAGCACCTGTTGCATTGCTCACAACAAGAAAAAATCTCTTCAGCTCTCCAGACCTCCGCGCCGTCGTAGTCCTTCCTAACGTCTTCCTGTTGCACAAGGGAGTAAGGTTCCCATCTCAGCTCCAGTGTTGACGGTAGGCAGCAGAAGCAAGTCCAACCATACCAGGAAGCATCCATAGTTGCAGAGGGTCCCTGCGTCCTCCGGAAACTCTGCGAGAATCTGCTTGTACATCTCCTGCTCTAAAGTTTAGCCAGCGCAGACTGTCTGTCGAGGAGGTTCCTCGGTCTTGTCATGCTTGTGGATTTCTTCGTCCCTGATCTTGATCGAGTCTTTTGAAAGTTGTCAGTTCTTAGATGCTCTTGAGCCAGCTCCACTCACCGGGAGGGAGGATGACTTCATAGTTTGCAGCCGAGACATCACTGTCAGGCATTCTCAGCCAATCAGGAAAGGGGAAGCAGGTGATAAAGATGAGGAGATTCTGTTATGATGAAACAGCAGCAGCAGCAGCAGCAGCAGCAGCAGCAGCAGCAGCAGCAGCAGCAGCAGCAGCAGCAGCAGCAGCAGCAGCAGCAGCAGCAGCAGCAGCAGCAGCAGCAGCAGCAGCAGCAGCAGCAGCAGCAGCAGCAGCAGCAGCAGCAGCAGCAGCAGCAGCAGCAGCAGCAGCAGCAGCAGCAGCAGCAGCAGCAGCAGCAGCAGCAGCAGCAGCAGCAGCAGCAGCAGCAGCAGCAGCAGCAGCAGCAGCAGCAGCAGCAGCAGCATGCTTTTGCTTCAAGTACAAGAGGAAGAGGAGGAAGAGGAGGAAGAGGAGGAGGATGTGTGGGGCTGCTGACCTCGAGGTGTATCCTGGTCGGAATGCGCGAGCGAGGATGGTGACGTTGGATTGACTATGCACAGGAATGGGCCCCTGAGGGAGAAGCGTCAGTAGCTCGATAACAGAATAGGGAAATCGGGAGCGGGAGCAAGAGCGGGAGCAGGAGCGGGAGCAGGAGCGGGAGCAAGAGCGGGAGCAGGAGCGGGAGCAGGAGCGGGAGCAGGAGCGGGAGCAGGAGCGGGAGCAGGAGCGGGAGCAGGAGCGGGAGCAGGAGCGGGAGCAGGAGCGGGAGCAGGAGCAGGAGCAGGAGCAGGAGTAGGAGCAGGATACTTGATAAGTTGACCCGTGAAACTCCGAGGGTGGGGAGCCGTCGGTAGTGAAGCGGATGGTTGAATTAGGCGTAGAGCACTGAAGATATATTCGGAGGGCAAGACAAGACAAGACAAGACAAGACAAGACAAGACAAGACAAGACAAGACAAGACAAGACAAGACAAGACAAGACAAGAGATTTTCAATGTCTCGGTTGCAAAGATGGAAAGATCTTACTTGTATGTAGACATTAACAAAATTCGTGAATTCTCCTTCAAGGGAGTGTGAGAGGGGAGAATCATTCTACACGTGCATGTACCGGAAGGAGGGTTGAAGACTGGATGAGCCACAACAGGAGGCAAAATGTTCACCACAAAACCTGCCATGACGTAGTCAGGCCAACATTGCAATGTTTTCTAACTGCATGATTGTTTCTGTGAATCATCGGTTGCCTTGTTCTCCCCTCAGTGTTACTCTTCCCATTGTATTCCTTCATTCTTCTGTTCTCCAACTCCCCTCCAAGTAAGGAATCATCGCAGAAGCAACTCACCAGATCGATTAGAAAGGACCCACTTGTCGTTCTTTGTGACCGGTTTCCCTTCCAGGGTAAGTCCAACTGAACAAGCAGAGCACGAATCAAATTTGATGAAAACAATCACTCTCTGTCATCATACCGACGTAAACATGGTGTTTCCCGACACACAAGTCGTTTCCGATGGTGAAACTACATCTCAATCACATCGAACAAGTCGCAGGATTCTACAGACTTGACAGTCCCAGGGATGTGCGGCCGAGAATACATCTTTCCCCCGAGAGTTGCCATGAAGTTGCTTCCCTTGAAGAGATAGAAACCTGTTGAGAAATGCGTCAACATGTCGGAAAGAAGAAAACTCTCTCTGTGATATTTCTCACCCAAGACAGACACTTCCTTGCAATGTCCTGTGCTGGTGTACGAGACGTTGTACTGCTCTCCCTACATGGGGAAAGATGGAACAAGTGAGAAGAGGAAGAGGGGATTGTGAGTGGAAGACTGTGCAGCGATGGAGATGCGGAGGGGACGAGGAGGGGAGGAAGAGAGAGGGAGGACAGCAAGTCAAGGAGTAGAGAGGGGCAAGAGTATGGAGGGCAAACTTGTGGAGAAGAGAGATGAGGAAGGAGGTTGAGGAAAGAAGTTAGAGGAAGGGCTACCATTTTCCAGTAAACTTCACTTGCCGTCGGCTCCGTGAAGCTTTCACACAGCAACTCACTGCAGGACCAAGGACAAAGGGGAGAATTCTTACCTCACAGTTGCTGGAACCTTCTTCTTCTTGGGCCCGGCGTTCCTTCTCTGAGAGTTGTACCATCAGCAACCTTGACAGGTGTGCGAGGGCACAGAGGGTAGAACGAGCAAGGAGACAAGAACCTTAGATGTAGAGTTCGAGGTTTCATGCACGGCGGTGATGTTTTCCGCTGCTTCAACCTGGATGACTTGTAAGCTCGATGCAGAACAGAGAGGAAAGCTGATGTTTTGAGACAACAATCCGCGCAAGACATCGATCACTTGTTGTCCTTACCTCTACGTTGATCTCTGTTGGGAACTCATCAGGAACTGCACAGTCCTCTGCATCACTCGAGTCAGTAGGAACATGGTTCAGAAAAGCAAAAGGACCTTCATGCACAAGGGTAGTCAGCCCATCTCCTTGATCAAGGAATCCTGTAGGAGAATGCTGCAGGGGGTCATGGAATTGAAGGCCCTGGTACATTGAATCGCCGAAAAAATGCTGCCCGCTCAAGCTTAGCTCCTGCTGCTGCTGCTGCTGCTGCTGCTGCTCTCGCTGCTGCTGATCCTGCTCCTCCTGCTCCTCGCTTCCTCCCATCCTCAATCTCTTCATCGGGATCGCGAACTCCTGCTCCACTGGGTGCTCAGCTTGTCTGGTCGAGCTGCAACCTCCTCGAACGTGCATTGCTGAGAGCATCTCCCCTTCAGCTGCTCGCTTCCAACATTGTGTTGTTGACTTCCTGTTGCGAAGGAAGCTCATTCGAACGTCGATCAGCACAAGGTCTCCGCACCTTCGCAAGACAACAAGTCCACCCCCATGCCGAAGGAACAAGAGAGACTGGTCTGCAGTGCAGGCGATCACTCGTGCTTCTTCGGAGAAGGTGATGCTACCTTTCAGATGGCAGGCAGGACAGCAATCCTGAGAAGATATCCGAGCGGAGGAGAGGACAAGAAGCAAAAGGAGAGCGTCTGAGAGCCTATCCATCAGGCCCATATCCTTTATTGTCGATCTTGTGTGCCTTGACTATCTACATTGTGTTGCCTGCAAGGTTCCTTGGTCAAACAAGTTCACCATCGGTCTCATTTGTTTTCGTTGATTAACCGCCCGAACAACGTCCGAGGGTTCCGTCTTTGCTTCCTTCTTTTATGATTCCAATCACAAAATCATAATGTCATCATTGTATTGCATTTCCCTTCATCGTCTTTCATTCCTCTCTCCTTCTCCCAACTATGTCCACCATACGATCGCACCTACCCTCTTCATACTGTCTCCTAATCTTGAAAGGAAACAGATAGAGGGCGATGGATGAAGCCTACAATGTTCTGTACATGCATCTTGCTTCTATCCTCATCACTTTCTTCCATCCATCTTCTCCTCCTCGTCTCCCATCACTCCCCACCATACTCTTCACGTCCGGATACCCGCATGCCCACCAAAACGAGACTTTCGGCCCCAAGTTGCTGCCTTTCATGAAAATGCCTATGAAAGAGAGCAATTTTACTTTCTGCCTCAATACTTGCAATAGACTCTGAGGTGAGCTTGTTTGTACTAGAGAGAACAGAACTCCTTCAGAATCTACGGGGATGTTGAAAGATGTCTTTTTGTATTTCAAAGTTGGGATTAGAACTTGAATCTCTACTCTCAAATCAATCAAGGGAGTAACTCCAGACTTCGATTGAAAAAATTCGCTGTCTTTTGATTTTTTAGTAGAAAGTCCTGAGGCAGATGTTTGATTCATATGTGAAACATGATGACTAAACTTTTATGGTTGCTTTGAGGGGTAGTTTACTATTGAGATTGGGGGTCCATGAAAGGGGGTGGTAATCACAAGGACCCCCGAATGCAACCCTTCCACCCTGTACCCCTTCATTTCCGTACAAAAATGCTCATTGCTCATTGGTAGGGGTAGTGTATGCAGGGGTAGGCGATAGCCCGTGCAGATCTCCTACCCCCATACCCCGTCCGGCCATGCCACCCTAATCTGCCTCTACTACCCACCCTGGTTTTGGTTGAAATCCTTGGTATTACCCCTACGATATTCCACCCACCCACTCAATAGAAAAGTCAAGGCGTCCATGGAAAATAGTCTTTACATTCACCCTCCATTCTCATATCAGTGATCTAGTAAGGTCAAGGTGATCAAAATCCTAGGTCTATACATATTTAATTTGTTGCATCTACAAAACCATGTTACTGGCTACTACCCTCAGTTATTGAAGACCCACCCCAATTGAGCACATACCCATCAGAAATGCCAACGATGCCAACCAGACTCCCATTGTTGTTGCCGTACCCCCGCACAAATCACCCCACCCTCGCCAAAATTCCACCCCACCCCTTGCAAGTGGGCAGACACCGCGGCAACCAGCGGCATGGAGGACGAACTATACGACGAGTTCGGCAATTACATCGGACCTGAGGAAGAGGAGGACGATGATCAGGAGGAGGAGGAGGATGATCTCGAGAATGCCTACAGGTAACATGTGGAACATGATGGTGGGAGGAGAAGATTCTTGCGAGGATCGAGACAGAAAAAGAGGATCGTGGCGCAGGTGGTATGAGCGGGAAGGACATTGTGGAGAGAGGAACAAGCTAGTAGTTGACTTGATCATACAAGATGGGGGATTGATGTGATTTTGTTGTTGAGATGTTGGAAGAAGTGTGGGGAACAGAGGGCTAGCACGAGATTGTATGAGACAGGAAACACCGTCAGGGAGATTTCACAAGATTGCAGTCGGATTCTTCGATCTTTGCGACTTCTTTGAGATTTGAGCTTAGCGGAATACTTGAGACCCTGCCGTTTGAACTCGTCTCTAGCTGTTACCCATGATAATGCTTCCACATGCAAGATTAGACAGCAATATTTTATACACAGGAAGGGTAGAAGATTGGTTTTTTCGGTGTTGAACATCTTTGCTCATGAGCGTTTTCCAGATCTGGTCTTCCCCATGGACACGATGCAGAAGAAGATCTCATGGAAGAGGATAAGGATGATGAGGGGCCAAGTCAAGCTGTGATTCTTCATGAGGACAAGAAGTATTATCCAGACGCTGAGCAGGTTTATCCCGAAGCAGAGACAACGGTTCAGGATGAAGACACTCAGGTGATAGAGACTATGCAGGCTCCTTGCGCTCAAGATTGAATCTTGTACTACAGCCCCTCGAGCAGCCTATTATTGCTCCTGTCCGAACCAAAAGCTTCGATTGCGTCGAGAAGAAGACCCCTGTGAATCCATACAGCCATGTTTACCTGCATCAGTTGTCGGGGAATCCAGCTCTCGTCCGCAACATCTGCGTGGCAGGGCATCTTCATCATGGTGAAGCTCGTTTTGATGCGCATCCAGCACTGATATCTTGTATGCAGGGAAAACCTCGTTGCTTGATGTGTTGGTGAGACAGACACATAACTTCGGAAAACTGCAGGTTTTGCTCTAGTGACTCCTCTCTTTGGCATTGAAGTAGATTTAGGAACACGAGTTTGAAAGAAAGTGGGATGGTTGCGAGGATCTGAGGTGAATGTTGCAGTACTTGTCGTCCAACATCAACTAAAAAGAAGTTCGTACTCAGGTACATGGATAGCCGAGTGGACGAGCAGAAGCGAAAGATTACGATCAAATCTCTCCCCATCAGTCTTCTGATGCCCTCAAGGTCAGAATCAATCTTTGTTTCTTCTTTCCAAAGTAATCATACTTCAAAAGCGGCGGCAAGTCGTATGCTTTGAACTTCATGGACACCCCTGGACATGTTAATTTCATTGATGAGGTAAAAGCTTCGCTTATTTAGACTGGAACCTGGCTTAAATGTTTTCTTCAGGTTGCAGCCTCTGTTGCTATTGCAGATGGAATGCTGCTTGTGGTGGATGCAGTTGAAGGAGTGATGCTGAATACAGTGAGAGTTTTCCCGTGGACCCATCAATCATTGGCTTAATGCATGACAGGAACGAGTAATTCAGCTTGCAGCTGCGCAGCGAATCCCTATTTGCTTGGTTCTCAACAAGATTGACCGCCTGGTCTGCAATGAGATACGTTGCAAAGAAATTGACTTGTGGTTCAGGTCCTGGAACTGAAATTGCCACCGGCTGATGCATACTTCAAGCTTAAACATGTAAAAAATCGTGTGAGAGCTCCGTGATATCATGACTTTCTGTACAGGTTATCGAAGAAGTCAACACAATCTACACATCTTTCACAGGAAACAATGAGGAGATCCTGTCGCCGCATTTAGGTAGACTTCAGGCATTAAATTTTCCTTTCCTGACCATGTTTTGCAACCCATCTTACAGGAAATGTCTGCTTCGCTTCTTCTCTGCAGGGCTACACCTTCACTTTGGAATCGTATGCGAGGTTGTATGCGGATACATATGGAGGCTTTCCTGCCAAAGAATTTGCCAAGGTAGACTTTGGATGTTTCCTGAGGTACGCTCATTATGATCTGGACAGAGGCTTTGGGGAGACTTCTGGTACAATGAAGAAACTCGCAAATTTCAGCGAACTCCTCCTGCCACTGGTGCACAGCGAACTTTCGTACAATTCCTTCTTGAGCCGCTCTACAAGTTGATGAGCCAGGTTGGTTAAAAGGATTGCGTTTGCAATTTATGAATGATCGGAACATTGCACAGGTCGTTGGTGAAGAGCCGAAGGAGTTGGACATGGTCCTGCAAGAGCTCAGCCTAAGTGTAAAGAGATCACACTTGCAGAAGAGCGTCAAAGCGCTTCTTCGTAGTGTGATGAGTGCTTTCTTCGCGGACAATTCAGGACTTGTTGATATGGTGGTGAAAAGTATTCCGTCTCCCTTGGAGGCGACGGGCACAAAGGTGGAAACAAATTATACAGGAGCTTTTGATACCGACTTTGCCAAGTCTATCAAGCGGTGTTCAGCGGAGGGGCCGCTCGCGATCCACATTGTAAAATTGTATCATCAACCGGATTGTGTTGGGTTCAATGCGTACGGCAGAATCATCTCAGGTACAGTTTCTATTGGGGACAAAGTAAAGGTCCTAGGTGAAGGATACACTTTGGACGATGATGAAGACATGGTGGAGACGACTGTCACTGACATCTGGCTGCATGCTGGTCGGTATAAGATACCGATAGACCAAGCGACAGCAGGAATGTGGGTGCTGATTGGGGGCATTGACGATTCTATTATCAAGACAGCGACAGTGGTTCACTCAGAGGGACCAGAAGACGCATGCATCTTCCGTCCTCTTCAGCACAAGACAAAGTCAGTGGTGAAACTTGCGATCGAACCATTGAACCCGTCAGAGCTCCCCAAGATGCTTGACGGCTTGCGTAAAGTGAACAAGACTTATCCATTGCTCGGAACCAAAGTGGAGGAGTCTGGGGAGCATTTGATTCTGGGAACGGGAGAGCTGTACTTGGACTGCGTGATGCACGATTTGAGGTTTATGTATTCAGAAATCGAAATCAAGACAGCAGATCCCTCCGTCTCCTTCTGCGAAACTGTGATTGAGACTTCCTCGTTGAAGTGTTTCGCGGAAACGCCGAATAAGAAGAACAAGTTGACTTTGATTGCGGAGCCGCTTGAGAAGGGACTTGCTGAGGACATTGAGCTCGGAGAGATCCTCATGACTTGGGACAGGAAGCGACAAGCGAGTTTCCTCCAAAGCAAGTACGATTGGGATGTACTTGCTGCACGATCCGTGTGGGCGTTTGGACCTGACATGAACGGGCCGAATGTTTTGGTTGATGATACCCTTCCATCGGAGGTAGACAAGCAGATGCTTGCTACCGTCAAGGATTCTGTGGTCCAGGGATTCCAATGGGGAACCAGGTGCGTTGTGATGGATCTTTGTTGCCTTTGCAGCTCACTGAACCACAGGGAGGGGCCCCTTTGTGATGAACCTATTCGAAATGTTAAATTCAAGATCTTAGATGCATCTGTGGATTCATCTCCCGTGCACAGAGGAAGCGGACAAATCATCCCCACTGGAAGGCGCGTCTGCTACTCCGCCTTTCTCATGGCCTCTCCGAGATTGATGGAACCTGTATTCTATGTCGAGATTCAAGCACCTGCGGACTGTCTGTCAGCCATCTACACAGTCTTGGCGAGACGACGTGGTCACGTCGTACAGGACATTCCCAAGGCAGGTTCGCCACTCTACACCATCAAGGCTTACATCCCCGTCATGGACTCGTATGGCTTCGAGACGGACTTGCGCACCCACACGCAGGGACAGGCTTTCTGTGTGCAGGTGAAGATGCGACTTGATGCCAAAGTTTTTCCCTCTGACGAGTGTGGCAGGTGTTCGATCACTGGGCCATCGTCCCCGGAGATCCTCTGGACAAGAGCATCGTCCTGAAGCCTCTAGAGCCCTCGCCCGCCCCCTACCTGGCGCGTGAGTTCATGGTGAAGACAAGGCGAAGGAAGGGAATGAGTGAGGACGTGTCGATCAACAAGTTTTTCGACGACCCTATGGTAATGCGCTGGACCAAATGTCTCTAACGGTCGGTAACGTCATTGTGCAGCTGCTGGAGCTCGCCCGACAGGACCAGGATCTGGCCTCCTACTTCTAGATGGAAGCGGAGGTGCAACGAGGTGCAGAGGAGTGGACATGGCTCTAGCGAGGGGAATCGCAACGAGTCGTGTGTGCTGAGAAAAAGGGAAGAGGTTATTCTGTTCGTTGGTGATGAGGCTCGAGAAAGAGGTTCTACCATGTGAAAGGAGGAGCGGAGGTGTGAAAGAAGCATCTTGAAGGATTTACTTGAAAATAATGATGGTCACCTGCTCTGCCCCTCTCAGTAGCCCTGCTGAGACATCTGCACACGAACTATGTACATCGCAGTCATGACCCCGGGCCATACTCGACCGAGGTTACTAGTTACAGTCAGGCGGCATCTGAGTCAAACTTGCAACGTCAGTGGGGCCGCCGCCGCCCGGACTTGAATTGCCACTGAATTCAATGATTTTGGTGGCAGCCAGCGGCTCCGAGGCTTGGCCCGGGGCGCCGGCAGCGCCGCCGGCGCCGAGTCCCGGAGCCAGAGGCTCCTGAGCGGCCGGCCGCGCGCCGCCGCGCGGGGCGGCCCCGATTGGGCCGGCCCGGCCGGAACCGTTGAACCGTCCGACGCCGCGGGGGCCGCCGGGCATCATCAGGGGCCTCGGACAGTGACTCAGCATGACATGCCATCATCGGATGATGCGCCGGGCCGTCATCGTCGGATCATGGGCCGGCCAGCCGCGCCGCGGCGGCCGGGGGCGGCCCCGGCTGGGGGGCCCCCCGCCCGGCCCTCCCCCCCTTGCCCGGCAGGCTGGTCGAGGCTCAGTGCAGCCTGTCACTGCGGGCGCTGCGTGCTGAATGATCCGGGACTCGAGGAATCAGAATATCCGGGGCCGGTCAGTGAGTGCGGCCCCCCGGACCGTCATGAACAGTGTCACTGTGCGCGGAAGCTCGCCGCACACGAGAGAGCTCTAAGGCTCGGCCTGTCTGCCGGGCTGCCAGTGCGACTCTGCCGCAGTGCCGGGCAGTACCGTAGACGGTACTAACGGTCCGACCGTACGGGCCGGGCCCAGCCCGGCTGGGCCGGGCCGGGCTCAGATGGGAATGTGTGGGGATGAGGCCCGGACTTCGGATTTGAAGTTTGCCGTTTCAAAAAGGCGTGCTGGTTTACCGGGGGGTCCTCATTAGGACCTGAGGTATGATAAAGGGGTCCTTTTGAAGATGGAATTGGGGGTGGTGGTTCGATGGGGTACGGGGGTAGGCGAACGTTTGGATTTTGATTGCCATGGTTGTTGAAAGTGAAGAACGAGGGAAGCTGAAGACACAAGAGGAGGAGCAGGAGGAGCAGGAGCAGGAGCAGGAGGAGCAGGAGGAGCAGGAGGAGCAGGAGCAGGAGGAGCAGGAGGAGCAGGAGGAGCAGGAGCAGGAGCAGGAGCAGGAGGATGATGGTGTGACGCTGAAAATGAATGAACAAGAAAGACTGCAATAGCTAGAAAAGGTAATGTTGATTGGGGAGCAGGAGCAGATGGATTCGGAGGAGGAGCAGAATCGACTCTGAAAGGAAGAGACAGAGAGGCAGAAAGGATGATCTTGATTGGATTCTTCCGATTATCATGTCTATGATCTCAAATGCTTTGAAACAAGGTTAGATAATCATCAGAATGGTCGTTCAGACGAATCTTGATGGTGATTCCGGTTACAAGAGGGAGAATGTTGAAACGCAACTGGAAGACGATGTTGTCAGACTGAGGGTGAAGGACGAGAAAAAATATGGCCAGGGAGGGTGTGGAGGTGGTGAAGAACAGTTTCCCTTCCCTGTTCCCCGTTATCCTCTGATACTGTGAATCAGCAACATTGGATATCTTGGCATCATCTCGGATTTTTAGGACTTCTCAATGTTTTCGTCCGCATCAACCACGGGGAAGGAGAATGCAACAACCAACATAACCCCCTCACTGCGATCAGGTCAGAACTCCACGTTTCTCCTCCCCTTATCCCCACCCGCCCTTCGTCGCCCCTTAGCTCCACCTCCTCCCTCCCCTCCTCTCACTCCTCATCAGGTCCCGTTCGCAAGCCCATCTTGAGCCCTGCATCATCGGAAACTCCAGGAGCCACCAGTGAGTTCGTGACCCAGTCCGCACGCGTGACTGAAAGTTTGTCAGCAAAATCAGCAGCGATCCGCGTGCCCCTCACGCCCACCACCAGCAACGTGACTGGCGGCTCCTCGGCCCACGCCAAACAAGTTGAAACCCCGAGGTTCGACATGAGAAGGAGAGGGGAGGGAAGGAGGAGGGACAGGGGAGGGGAGAGTAAGGGAGGTCAAGAGAGCGATTGATATGCATGATGCAGCAAGGCTTGTGCTCAGCCGGCAGAGACTCCCGTGGAGTCGGAGCATGCGGCAGCCGCAGCTGAAGTGAAAGCCTCTCAGCAGCTCGTGAACCCTGAGACGAAGAAGAGCTGGCAACTAGCTGATTTTGACATCGGCAAGGTAAAGTGCTCTCCCTCCCTAACGCCCCCTCGCACTCCTTGCTTCATCCCCCCCCCCCCCACCTGCCCCTCTCCTTCCATCATCTGCTGATCTCGTTCTTCTACAGCCTCTTGGGCGCGGAAAGTTTGGAAACGTGTACCTTGCCAGGGAGAAACGGACTAACTACCTGGTCGCGCTCAAGGTTCTCTTCAAAGCTCAGGTTCCCCTCTGCTTTCCTCTCACCTTCTCCTGATTTGCCTCATCCCAAACAGCTCTCCAAGGCCAAGGTAGAGCACCAGCTCAGGAGAGAGATCGAGATTCAGTCCCACCTGAGGCACAACAACATCCTGCGGCTCTACGGCTACTTTTACGACCAGAGCCGCGTCTACCTCATCCTTGAGTACGCCTCCAAGGGTGAAGTCTACAAGGAGCTACAGAAGTCCAAGGTCTTCCCGGAGGACCGCGCTGCGTACTACATCGGATGTCTTGCTGGTGCGAGAGGAGGAGGAGGAGGAGGAGGAGGGTTTGACTAGGTGTTCTGCAGGAGCTCTGGCGTACTGCCACAAGAAGAATGTGATTCACCGCGATATCAAGCCGGAGAATCTTCTCATCGACAGCAAAGTGAGAGGAGGAGGAGGAGGAGGAGGAGGAGAGTTGTGACTGGCGCTGCCGCAGGGGGAGGTCAAGATCGCGGACTTCGGCTGGTCCGTCCATGCTCCCATCTCCAAGCGCCACACGCTGTGCGGTACCTTGGACTATCTCCCACCAGAGATGGTGGAGGGTCAGGCGCATGACAAGGCGGTGGACATCTGGTCGCTCGGAGTTCTGTGCTACGAGTTCCTGGTCGGGAGCCCTCCCTTCGAGTCGCAAGGCCACAGCGAGACATACAAGAGGATCGCCAAGGTGGACCTCAAGTATCCCTCCACGGTGAGTGAGGAGGAGGAGGAGCAGGGAGTGACGGAGGATCAGCTGTCGGAGGACGCGAGGGACCTAATCTCCAAGCTGCTCGTCAAGGAGCCAGACCAGAGACTGAGCCTCGACAAGGTTCTAGAGCACCCCTTCATCCTCAAGGGCCAGGAGTACAAGAAGACCCTCGAGGTAGGCGGGCTCTACCCCCAGCGACCCTCCAGCTGAGTTGACTTACACAGGTCAACCCGACTCGACGAGAGTCGTGCCTGAGCTCGGCGGTGGCCAAGAGTTAAGTCCAGCCGTTCCAGTGTAACGCCCCTGACCAAGAAGCAGAAACTGCTTTGATGCAAGTTTTTTCCCTCCCTGTTCATATATTCTTTCACAGTAGTTATAAACCCTCATATACATTTACACGCCGCCCCCTCCCATGTCATCCTTGCATCACTTTCCCTGAATCCCCATCGATGGTGAGGTACTGCCACTTGCTGGAGGGTCGATGAACCTTCACCACCCTCCTCAGCTTCACCAGCTTGCTCTTGCTGCTGTACATTGTCGCAGGCAGGCTCGACTGCCCCCCCACGTCATAGTGAATGTCTCCTTGCTGCCAGCCATCATCGTTGGGGATGTCAATCACCTCGTCTCCTAGCACTGTGCGGTTCTGGCTGGCAGTGCAAGGGCCCTGTGCGCTGTGACATCCGTTGCCATGCACCTGAGCAGTGAGGAGCTTCTGCGAGTTCTTCACGTAGTGGACCATCCTGTCATGAAATCAACTGAAGGAGCAGCAAAGTGCCAGTGACGTTGAAACGTCTCTGAGGAGGAGGAGAGGAGGGAAGTGGGGAGAGAGAGAGGTGGACGAGGAACTAGAGGAAGCAAGGGGGGGAGTGGGGGGGTGGGGGGCGGAGAAGAGGATGGGGAAGAGGAGTGGAAGGTTGGGCTTTACTTGTCCAGTCCGTCAGCCTGGCTGGACATGTCGGTGAAGTAATCATAGACGTAATTTCTGGGCTGTACAGTACGTGAGCAAGAGAGAGGGAGGGAGGGACGGAGGGAGGGAGGAAGGGAGGGAGGGAGACAGGGAGGGATGGAGACAGGGAGGGATGGAGACAGGGAGGGATGGAGACAGGGAGGGAGGGAGACAGGGAGGGAGGGAGGGAGGGAGAGAGCAAGAGCTGTAAGACCTGAGTAAGAACTTGATGCCAGCCTGCATCTGAGAACTTGTAGATACCCTTCTGCGACTGCTCGACGAGAATCAAAGGAGATCAGAAGAGGCAAAGGAATGGCAGCAAACAATCCACCATGTGTGATCGTCTACATCCCGGAGTGTCTTCGGGACAAGCCTCCCTAAGTGTAGTGGCTAGCCCAACGTTGTGGTGCGCACTAGAACGAAGGTCAGATGGAATGGAGAGCTTGTCGAAGCATCTACATGTGTTGTTTGCTTCTCAATGCTGCTGTCCACAAGTTCTCTTTCAAAACAGACCTCCTGCAACATCAGATCGTCAGGAGACTGCATGTCAATGATACAAGACTCGTCTCTTCACCTCGTTGAAGAGCAGGTTATCAGGACAAGCAAACCCACGCTTGCAAGAGCAGCTGCCCAGAACATCTGCAGCAAGAACATCAGAAGACAAGTCAAGTAAGGAAGTTTGGGTTGATCAACCCCAAGGCAAATCTTATCACTCCATCCCACTCCTTGCTGCCTCTCCCGACGCTCGTGGCCTTCCTCTCTTCTCTCTTGTATCCCATACCTCTCCCCTCTTCCCCCCTCTTCCCGTCACTCCCTCCCTCCCACGTTGTCTCCTATATCCTTGCATGCTCTCCTCCTGCGGTCCCTCCTCGCCCCCCCATCCTCTCGTCACCTGCCGTCGCTGGACCAGCATCGATCCTGCCATGCTCGAAGGGGCACCAACAACTGCAATCGCGACCGGGCCGAGTCACCGGGGCCGGGCCCCGGCGATCATCGGATCGGCCCGGCGCCGGCCCGGTCCGGGCCCCTGGCGGCGGCTCTCCTGGCCCGGAGGCTCAGTGCTTCACTGAACACCCTGTGAACACGCCGGGCTCTCAGTCGGATGCCGGGACTTCGATAGTCAAAAACATGTGACAGTGTGACAAGGCTGAAGTCCAACAGGATCAGTACCCGGCCCGCGGCGGCCGGGCGCGGCGGGGACTCACTGCGTTCGTTCCGAGGCTGACCCGACCGTTGAAGCTTGAGGCGGACTCGTTCGGACTACGGAGGAAGGAGTAATGAGTAAAATTTAGTCCCTCCGACTCTACAAACCCGGCCGGGACCTAAACTTACTAAGTTATAATGAGCGACTCGATGATGAGATGATAGTGTACGGTAGTAGTGCTACTCACTTGTTGTTCACTTGAATGGTTGGCAGTGTTGTTGTTGTAGTAGTAGTTCAGGTTGATCACTGATCGGATCTCAGTCTTCCGATGACCGTCCGCAATCAGCATGGCGATTGAATCATTGCCACTGACTATCATCATGATGATGTTGAATATCAGTGTCTCGGTCACTGACGAGTGAGTGATCGGGAGACGACCCTGAAACAGAACATGTGCTGGTGCTTATGATGACGATGAATGCGAGGATGAGGATTAAGATCTCAGATGCAAGCTTTAATTACTTGTGCATGCGATGAACTTCGGAAAATTCAGATCGCAGGCTCATGGTCGTTGAGTGTTGCTGCTGTCGAATTCCTTTCGCCTTCAAGCTGAATGTGCTGTTCGCAGCAGTGAACTAGAGGATGGAAAGAGGAACGAGGACGCGTGCATGAGTCAACGACAAGTCAGAGCTCTTCAGAGTTGCTGACATGCAGGCACAAAGGTCACGACAAGCTGACAAAGACAGCAAAGACAACACAGGTGAAAGAGAGCACGAGCAGTCGAATCAAAGTCTATCCCATTTATTTGTGCATCCCCTGATTCCCCATGCCCATCACTCAGCCATGGCTCTTATTCTTCTTCAGATGCCATCATTACCCTTCTTCACGACTCGGCTCTCAACTACGAGTGGAAGCATGGTCAATATTGCAGTACCGACTGGCACGTCGTTGACTTTGCAGCAGGACCAAGATCAGTCCTCAACAAGTCCCACTCGCTCAAGCATGTCTCGCACTACGTTGAGAACCCTTCCCTCGTCACCTTCTCCTTGAATCGGTAAGCAAACAATCAGAAAGCCTATAGCAGATGCTGAACATTTGTAGGGTACATGAGGAAATTGCGACTCGGGAGAGGAGGAGGAGGAGGATAGAGAAACTTGCGCCCCATTGTCTCTTCTTCGTGTTCTACATGGCAGCGCTGAGCTTGGAGATGAACACGACCAGAGGTGCAGCCATGCACGCGACGGTTTCATACCTTTGACAAGTGCAGGTGAGATGGCAACTAGGGCGATCAGAGAGAGTCTGGTGGAGAGAAGCTTGTTTTCCAGCTCGCCCTCCCCGAGCTCGAACAGCAGCTGCCGGGACAACCTCGGTCACCTAGCTCCTGACGGATGTGATGTCCCGCTAGCCACCAACATGAGGTGAAGGTCGAGGAGCAGAAGCTGTAAACTCACTACCTGTTAGTTTCCTCGACGTCTCAGACCTTGACAAGTACTGGAGCTGGGCTCGCATGTTCGTATCCTCTTCCTTCTACAAGAACTACTGGTCAAACGGACAAGCGATGAGCGCGACTGATCAGAACACGTGGTTCTTCCATGTGAAGCCTATTAACGGTCTTGCTTCTCACTTGAACTCATCTACACCTTGTAACATCTTGCTCTTGTCCAGGTATGACTATGGTCCAGAAACGTGTGGCGTCTGGATATGATACAAGGAATGATGTCGGGGGCACGTGTTGGAAGGCAAACGGCGGGAGCTTGAGATCATTCGCGCCAGTGTGTTACGACTCTTTGAAGTTCTGTCTTGACCGGGAGTGTGTCTATGGAAGAGAAGACAAGTAGCATGTCTTCACGGGGATGCAACTTGTGATGGTGACGCAGGTCTTCTTTTGGTCCTCCGTCGAGTCCCAGCAAGGTGACCAGCAGGTTCTCTCCTCTTCCTTGACCCCCCTGCTAGTTCGTGTACGAGGAGCGAAGCCCTGGCGTCATGAAGAACTTCCCCTCTCTTGGGGGATTTTGGCAGCAGCTGCCAGCAACGAGCAGGCAAGCGAGCTGGTAGTGTTCTGCTGCTGCTGCTGCTGAGGCTTGAGGTAGCAGCGGACAGGCTGTAGAGCAGGTGGATGTGCTGAGAGGAGATCGCTGGCTGCAGAGAAGCTCGCAGTGGCTGAGGCAGGACGTGACTTATATGATCCCTGCCGAAGGGCTGTACGTCGTTGGCAGGTATGACGATAATGGTGACGAGGATGACGATGGAGGTCAGAGGGATAGTGATGATGGGTTACGATGATTGAGTCCATGATCTAGAAGATATGGGTACGATCACAGTCTCTGAAACCTTGTTTCAGTCTCCAGGTGTACTTGTACAACACGGGGCACGTAAAACCTTTGTTCTTATCAAGTGCTTCAGCGGTAAATCTCGTCTGCGATAGGAAGACGATGAAGATGAGAGGGCAGGTGGAGACGTACAACTTCAACTTCTCTTCTCGCATCGGAATGCTCATCCTCGAGATCTTGACGGTCTTGACTTGGTTGCTCAATATTGCTCAGAGTTGGCGAGTGCTGGTCGCGTACAGTAAAGTGAGAGGCAACCAGTCGAAGATGCGATTTGACTCGTCCGTTGCAGAAACATCCCGACAAGACGAGGCATGAAGCTTTCATCAAGTATTACGGGAGCTCTCTACAACAGCTGATATCAGATGTTCATCTCCTTGCCTTCATCGCTGTTGTCGTCATGCGCATTTTGATCGCCGTCGACCCGTACGCCAGCCACGAATCAGTCAGTGCCAACAGCATCACGTGGGGGAGTCAAGCGCTGCTGTTAGCGCAGACACGACGTTTGATCGACGCTTACAAGCTCTTGAGCGCTATCTACCTGCTGGTCTTGATGGTGAAGATTATCTTCTTCGCTTCCTTTGATGCCAGGAAAGTGACGGAGTCAGGCTTTGCTGTCAGTTGACGTGCATGCAGGTTGTACGTTCCCTACATCTTCTCTCACTTAAGGACTCCTATGCTCAACTTCGCTCTGGTTTTCTTCATCTTTCTCGCGTCTTTTGCCGTCCAGGTGAGGAGGAGGGAGCAACAGCTTTGGATGACTTGTGGTGGCAGGCGACGCTTCTTTTCGGAGACCAGCTCTTGTCCTTCTCGGATTGGGGTAAGAGGATAAGCTACGTGATAGCAACTGACAAGTCTCGTTCAGGCTCATCTTTCCTCTCCATGCTCCAAGTGCTCGTCAATGGGCTGTATGGGAACCGATCGAAACAAGCTGCTGACCTCGACCGGGTCTTTGACGTTTCTCCGAACGTGGCTTGGCTGTGGTATTACTCCTTCTGGCTCGCTGTGATGTTTCTAGTCGGCAACATGGCTGTCTCTGTCATGGGTTGTGTACACGAGAGGATACAGCAGCTGCAGATGACGGCCGGTACCCGACACTCCTTGTGCCCGACTGAGAGGTTGCGCTTGCAAGGCAGCGCCGAGCCAGACCAGCTGGACTCTGACGACTCATGGATCAACGTCTTCAAGGAAAGTCTCCGGCACAAACACAAAGACGCCGACAGAGCACTGCAAGACCTGGAGGCGATGTTCGTCGACATGGTGTGTGATTGTGAGGTGTTGTGAGGGTTTGCAAGGTGATCGAGCTTGATAGGACTGCTCTGATGTTGACGATGTTCAATCTACTCTGAACAACCTGGTAGAGTGATCGTATCTGACCCACAACCAAGTGATAGCCTCTCAGGGGAAACAGTACAACCAGGAGTTGGTTACAGCAGCTCTTCGCACCTACCCTAGTGCAGTTAACGACTCCAACGACGTCCTGAGTGTCTTCGAGGTCATAGAGCGACGTCCGCGGATGCTGGCTGAACTGCTGGCAGGAGAGAAAGTTCTTTGAGGCCTCCCAACGGCTTCACCTCAAGAGTTTGAACGAGACTGCAGAAGAGATCATCTCGAGTCAGGTAGACCCTCATGTGGTTCCTTCAGACGTTACTCTGACTGTTTGCTAGGCAAGGTTCAACCACAAGGTGGACAAGCTGACGAGGTGGCTGGAGATGTAAGAAGAGATTATAATTCATTCATTTACAAACATACATGTATGTTACATACGATCTTTATCACGAGCTTCCCTGACTGTAGAGCTTCTGAAAGACGTTTGAGAGCTGCCGACGAGGGTCAGCAGGCTGGCTGTGCAGGAGGAGGAGACCTGCGCTATCTTGGACGCGTGCTCTCCTTTCATCTTGTCCATCTCACTGAGCAACACCCTCATTTCCTCCTCCGTGTCTCGAACCTGGCGAGCGTCACCTCCACCCTCTTCCTCCTCCCTCCCCACCTTGCGACCAGCAGCCTCCTCAGCTTGTCGCAGCCTCTCGCACTCATCCAGCACCTGAGCATCAGTCTCACGAGGAGAAAGAGACAAGGAGCTCTGTCGACCTGCGAGAGCTTCTTGCTCTTGAGCCGCAGCTGCGAGCAAACGTCAAGTTGAACCTTGTCAAGAGTCCCAGTCACCTGCTCCTCTGTCTCCTCGAGGAGGGTTGACATCTCCCTGAACCTGCTCTCTCGCCTGACGGAGATCGATCACCAAGACAACAAGGTTGAGGCTGCGAAGTACCTCGACGCTTTCTCATGCTCAATCTCCATTTCCTTGCGAAGATCCTGCCATGGCATCAGTTCTGTCCGCAGGATGAGAGCAAGACAAACCTCAACACGCGATTGAAGCTCCTTGTTCTCCTTGTTCAACTTCGACTCCGTGTGCTACACAGCCATCAGGTCGGGTGCTCAGGGAGGAGAGAGAGAGAGTATCGACCTTAAAGTGGTGCTTCAAAGACTCTATCTCCTCTTCGACATACTTCAGCATCTGACCCCCATCATGGCTCAGTCGCAAGTCTGTTATTGACAGAGACAGCAGTACAGAGTCTTTCTCTTTCAGTTCCGCCTCGGCCTCATCCAGAGCCTGCAAGGCGATCAGCAAGTGCTCTCATGCACGAAGACTCCAACTGACATCCTGCTGCTTCGAGCAGGTGGACCGGAGCTCAACAACCAACGAGTCCAGCTCTGCTATGAGCTCTTCCTTGGCCTCCAGACGCCCTTTGAGGTGCCCAACCTGCATGACGTGCTCAGTTTGTCTACAGCATTCCACCCGCTAGACCTCTCGCATCTCTTCCTGGAGGAGTGCATCGTAGCGCTGATGCGAATCTTTACAATATGCATACAATCAAGAAGAACGAGGCAGAACCTGAGCATCCTTCTGAATTCCTTGAAGTTCAGACGACTGATAGTAGATTCACCGTCACCCGCAAAGGAAATCGGTCGGAATGAAAGTACCTGATGCTTCAGTTTGTCTAACGTGTCTTGCTGATCTTGGAGGATCTTGTCTTTTATCCTTATTGTGTCTCTCAATCCTTCGTTCTCTCTCTGAAGAACATCCTTGTCGTACTGTTAAGGGATCAGCATTCAAGTAAGACCATCCTAGCATCCCTGCCTTCAGATGTTCAATCACAGACTGAGGATGGTTCGAATCCGTTGAGGTGTTGACGTCTGAATCCTTTCGCAACATCTTGTCGCCTTCAAGCTCGTCGAGTCTTGCCCTCAACTCTTCAGCAATGTATCTCTCTTCCTGCACACATAGAATCACGCTTCATATCTCCACGAGTCAAGATCTTACTTTCAGATCCTCTTCAAGCTGCTTGTTCATCTCTTGCAAGCCCAGCAGGTCCTTTTGACGTTTTTGCAGATGTTCGAGTTCGACGAGCGCCTCCTGCAATCGCCTTAGTGGCCCTCAGGTCCAAGTCAAGCTGGGACCTGCAGTCCACTGCGAAGCTCCTTCTCAACTTGTTGCGCTTCTTTCGATGACTGCAACAGCTGATAGACAAGCATCAGACATGTCGATGTCAACAAGTCAGCACTACCTTGGCTCGCTGCTCTTTCACCACGTTGGTAAGCTCAGCTACAACTCGCGCCGCGTGAACTTCTCGAGCCTCTGCAGCTCGCCATTGCCTCTTGTTCTCGACTACCTGAAGGATGCCAAGTCACAGGTCACACGCGGACAAAGGACACGCTTACCTCGCGGCATGACTGCTCCAGCGCGTCTCTCATCTCCTGCAACTGAGTCTGCAGGCTCTCATGCGACGCTCTGATGCAGTTGGACTTGTTGGCCTGGGGCGCCAGATGTCAGCGACTATCTCATCAACACCGTCATGGCTGATTTCACCTCGTCAATCTTCGCTTTGAGCTCTGTAATCTGCTGTTGCGATGAGAAACACGGACGAATTTCAAATCTAATCCTTCGCACCTTTTGCTCATAACCAAGGTTCTTTTCTTCTGCTTGTCTCAGACTTTCTTTCTTCGAGTTCAACTTTGCCTGGAGTTGGCCAATCTCCTCTTTCTGGAAGCAGCACAAAATAAGTACAAGGCAGCCCATAAGGTGATGAGAGAAGGGATCGGGTAGTATCCCAAAACAAACTTTATCCGACTACTCACTTGTGATACAAACAATTTTTCAGTCTCGCTCTGCTTCTGGATAGCCGAATCCTTCTGATGAATTAGCGATTCTACATTTTGCTTGTAATCCAAGAGTTCCTGGAAACAACCACTGTTTCATCTCGTAGTAAGCAAGAGGAATGGCTCTCAACCTTTGAGATCTTGTTCAGCTCCTGCTCAGCTTCCATAGCTTTCAGCTCACTCATCTCCCGGATCTGCAGTCAAACGGTCAAACGAGATAACATTCCACCTGCTTGCAGCAGAACCTTTCTCAGATTCCCGTTCTCATCTTGCAGCTTGAGGATATCGTATTTTGCAGCAAAGAGTTCTTCCTCCACCCTCGTTTTCGACGTCTGAGCATGATTTTCTCGTTCAACAGCTCCATTCGTGACCTCCTGAGCTCTGAGCTATCAGCGACTGAGTACTGCTCGGTGACGACTCACCTTGGCCCACTTGAGCGATTGCTCCACTCGCTGCATCTCATTGCGCAGACCCGTGATAACGGCCTCGTACTCCTTCTCGCGCGATGCTGAACGCGTCTGTGGACGGGTACTCAGAGACAAGTCGATGGTTTACAAACTTACTTTCTCGAGTGCGAGCTCCTTGTCTTTGTCCACCAAGAGAGAGTCTGCCCTCTCAAGCCTCTCAATTTCAGCTTTCATTCCAGCCGCGATCTCATTCAGCCTCTTCACTTCTTTCTCGAGGTCAAGTCGCATTATCCTCTCCTTTTGGGCCTGTCAACAAGGTAAACGTTTAATTCTTCCAGCATCTTTCGTACCTCTTGAGTAACATCAGTCAAACTTGCAACCGTTTCTGACATCTTTGTACGAATTTCCTTCAGTTCTCCTGATGCCTGACTTGACGACATTTCAACATCTTTCAAAACCACGTTCAGCTCAGCGCTGATTTCCTGTCAACCATGTCAATGATGTCGAAATCCGGAGCGATTCCTATCACCTTGATCACGACTTGAGTATCTTCGACATGCAATCGAGCCTGTCTCAGTTTGTTTGACATCGATTCATTCTCGACTTGTAGATGCTCGATTTGAGATCCTGCCAACACGGTCTGAGCAGCGTGACTTTTGATCTCTGGTTTCTTCGGTTGATGAGACTTGGTGTTTCTTGACTGATCGCGATCGCCCGTGCTGCCTTTGATCAGCTGTGCAATATTCTCCCTGCCCTCCTGATCATGTTTCTGACTACTCCCGTCATGAAGAGCAGCCTGGTCATGATCCACATTATCAACTCCTTCGTTCCCGTACTGCCGTCGATCTTGACCTCTCAGTGGCTGCGAGTCGTCAGGAAGAGTCGGTCACCACAACAAGACTTCTACCCGTTCGATCTGACCGGAGCCATCCTTCCAATCAGAGCCATCTCCCTTGCTAGGTCGAGTTGTGTCATTTCTGCCATCGCTCGTAAGGACAAGTGGTTGGTGGGTTTCATTTACGGCTCAGGAACGAACATTGCAAGCTGCGCCTCAAGACGTGCAAGTCTTGAAACCATACATCAGTTTTTATCGGATGATGGATGAAATACCTTAGTTCTTGCTCTAATGCTCCCCCAAAATCTTCAGAATAGTCTGCACTGTCATGGTTTCTCTGTAGGTTGGGAAACAAAGACATGGTTAGCACTTCGTTGGGTGTGTCAGATGGCGAACCTTCTTGGTTTCATGCAGGTCCGAAGATTTCTGTTTCCTAGACTTGAAAGCTTCGATGGCTTGGTCTATCCTCTGAGTGCTTGGATTCAACGGCGTCCGTCCCCTTTGCATTTCCTGTCTGCTATGTCAATTTCAATTCGGTTCAATTGTTCATCACTTTTTCCATGTCATCTGTTGGCGGTTGCAGGTACTCATGTTTTGTTTCTCTGATCTCACCAAGTTCCCCCTGTTGAACATTTCAGGTGAAAGTTTTCAGAAGTGATGAAATCACCAGTAGCCTGGCGTGGGGAACATGATAGTGAACAGACACCTCGTGTCGACGCTCATTCAAGGCCGACCGCCGTGAGGTCGTGACTTTCGTCTCTTGCGGGAAAACCTCTTTCAATTGCTTTGTTGGAATGACGACCTTCCCATGAGCAGCGCTCGACAAATCACTTCTACTGGGTTTGCGCTGCATCATATGGCGAATGTCTGCCATTCGGCTGAGATGCGCAACCAGCGACTCTCCGTCTAGAAGCGCTATAGATTCTCCTAGAGTGGCAGCGATCACTGCAGGGTAAGCTGCATCACTACAGACGGGATTTGACAAGTGGCTCTGCTTCAAAGTGAGCTCCTTCAACATGACACACGGTTTCAAATGTTTGATCTCTTCCAAGTCACTGATCCGGTTGTCGTACAGTTCCAGGATTTGAAGTTGATTGGTCTTCCCGTCGAAATCCTGAAATCCAACCAGAGAGGATATCGAGTTGTATGCTAGGTGCAGCCTCTCGAGAGCTATCAACTTTCCGATTCCCTGCCATCCATTAAAAAAACTAGCCATGGCCATGAAATCATCCACAATTCACCTGCACTGTCGTTATCTGATTACAAGACAGATCGAGAACTTTGAGGTTGATCAGGTCATCTGAAATTTGAGTCATTTTTGAGAAACGTTATGCACCCAAGTACCCAATCCTTCGATACTTTGGATCTCATTTGAAGACAATCTCAATTCCACCTGAGAAAGGCGTTAGACGAAAGAGTGCACGATTTTGATTCTTGCCAGATTCGGCAACATTTCCAAGGATTGTATGCGTTTGATGTTGTTGTAGTGAAGATTCAGTGAGCTGATGGCATTCCTGCAAAGAAATCAGTTGAGTCGCCACCTCAACGAATTCGAGGCAAAGCTGCCCATTACATGGAGAGATGAGATGGAAGTGGGAGGACTTGTTCGAAGGAAGTCAGACTCCTGAAAGGAAAAGGAGCCATCCTCGTTTAGAAAACAATTGATGAGTGCAACATCAGATTTCCTCACCTTGATATCAGCGAAAGTTCTCCTCCGAAACTATCGAGCGATGATGAAACAAGGCTCGAGTGAAGCTTGGGATTCACCTGGAGATCGATCTGTCACAACCTATTCCTAGCAAGGCCAGCGAGTTTTCTCCACCTTTCTAGCCGATGGCTCGTCACCAAGAAACTTTGCGCTCGTTTGCGGCATCGAAGGCTCAGTAACTTCCTTGCTCTCTTGTGAATTTCTATGCAGCAAATTCCGAGCATCTTCGATAGAAGATTTCGGGCTGTCGCTGATCGTCAAGACCTGAGCGCGTGTCTCTGCACCTGTAGACATGCCATCATGCATCACATGCAGGAGGACAGGAGGAGGAACCATCAGCTGCTCGGGAATATCTCCATGCCGGGGCAGGCACCTGGTCCCCCCTTTTGGGGTACCGTAGCCCACCCCTTCCCCTGCTCGCTCTTAGCTGTGTATCCATCTGCACATGACTCTGCAGCATCCATTCTCCGACATCTGTGATGGAGTGAGTGAAATGCAGAAGAATTAGAGATCTGTCGAGATCGTTCACGATGACGGGATATTATGGTCAGACATGGATCGAAAGTGGAGTCTCGGGTTTAGCGAAGGGAGCTACCACCAGGAGGATGAGCAGAGCAGCATGATTCAAAGTATGTTAGGCGGTAAGGACAGTCAGACGAGGATCGTTAGACAGGGAAACAGGATCAAGAGCAAGAAGGGCAGGAGCAGGAGCGGGGAAGGAGTAGGTAGGCCTAAGGACGAGGAGCCTGTGGAGGAGCAGCAGCTGGAAAGGGGGACGAAGGATTGAGAGGATGATGATGATACACATGAACATGAGAGAAGCATGATGAGCAAGCATGAAGATGGCCTGCATCGTCAGCAGAAGAAGGCTGAGCAACTGCCTTGACCATACCTTCAGAATGGATTGGCGCCAACAGACCACCCACCACCGTCGTCACCATTCAATCCCTATTGTAAAGTACCCTACCCTTCGGCCATACCAGTGGTTCATGTGATGAACCCCTCCTTCTTCTAGTGAGAAGGACCCGTGTGATACCGCTTGTCGAAGACAGCATTTTTCTAATATGTACATTTCCTATACCAGTTTTCATGTCCTATGGTTTCGGGGTACCAGGATCACCCCTATATTCCTGTGGAATTACTAGTGAAAAGGGTGGGTCCATGAAGAAGGAAGGATCTAAGACGTTGTCGAGGGAGCATGGGTGGGTTGGCGCTGTACGAATGTGGGGTAGGGTCATGAAATCGTGAAGCTCCTGGAATTTGGGGGTAGGGTAGGACAACAAATTCATAATCGGGGGTGGGTGGATATATAGAAATGCAACTGACTCTAGGAGGGGTAGGGGAGGACACAATGGGGAGGTACGGGGTATCTACAATGCGGAAGCGCGGGGATGAATGGTAGGGGGGTAGGGGTAGGGTAGGAACAAGGTACGGACATGCATACGACCCGAATTTCACATGGCGAAAGAAAGTGAAGCGAAGAAGACGCAGAAGCAGAGCGAGAGCGTCAGGCGAGCATGGTGCTTGTTGCGAGGGTAGAAGAATGGATGGATACAAGTAGAGGAGCAAAAGAAGAGCTCAGGTTGATGGTAGGAAGTTAGTATGAAGTTAGTGGGTGAACACCTGTTGAGGGATGGTCAGGGTTGATAAAGAATGGAGAAAGGATAGTCGAATAGTTTGCTGTGGCACATATGAAAACGAGATCAATGGTGTATTTGATCAGAACAAGATACTCCAGTGATCGTAGGAATATTGCAGGATGATTCTTGAGCAGTGTAGTTTGCGTGATGGGAAATTTGGTGCAGTTCTTCTCCAGGGCAAACTAGCTGGAGATTGAGGCATTCACATATACAGTCAGCGATACCATAGCATCAGAGTTGTTCTCATCTACAATCAGTAACTCCATAGTATCATAGCAATCAAAGATGATGAACGTCGAATGTTTGTCGCGTTTGTTCGCTTTGTTGATGGTGAAACCAATCGTTGTGCGAATGCTTTCCGACTCAACAAGTGACAGCCCGAGTTTTCAATTGTGATGATACATCTTTACGTAATCACTCATGTCCTCAGCCTCTGATGCCTGTTGCCTCGCACTGTGTTGACATCTTTTCGAAGGTTCACGATGAAGCATGGTATCCGCTCACATTGGGCGGTCTGTTTCCAGGGGCCCAGGAGGTGACGCTGGTAATCGTTCACTGAGACATCCCTGTCGCAAACTGGAGCAGAGCACTTGAGATGATGCCCTCCCTCAAGAGCGCTGGGTCCTCCTCGTGCATCGCCAGCCGCTGGAAGTCGGTATCAGACGCGAGCCTTTCGTTTGCAATCTGCCCTGGAGGAAGCCTTGTGCCGCGGAGGGAGCGCGGGAATACTCGCCAGATATCAGCAGCAGGAGCGAGCAGGGCGTGTCCATGGCAGCTGCCCCATCGGATGCCGTCGAGTGCTGGTGTGCTGGTCTGGGAGTCGAGGACAACGATGATCAGGACTTGGGGCCCTGTGAGATTTTGCTCGGGAAGAAGTTTTTCGTTGCAAGCTCCCCATGCGGCTTCCAGGTCGAATGATTTTGTGGAGGGACAAATCGTCGAAGTGAGACGCGGCGACCATTGGAACACGGCGAAAGTGCTGGTGGTTACGTCAGATAGGATCCTGATAGAGTTCAAGGTTGGTTCCTGATGTAACTGAACATTTAATGACGATGATGACGATGGTGATGGTGATCTTGAAGAATGAAGGGACGATGACGACGATGATGATGATGATGATGATGATGATGATGATGATGATGATGATGACGACGACGACGACGATGATGATTTTGAGGAGGAAGAGGATGGTGGAATTATATTACTTTCGCTTTCTCCCCTACCTCCCTCCTCCTCAAGCCCCTCTTTTCCATCAGTCTTGTTTGCATGCTTGTTTTAATGCTTTTTTTATCATTTGACTTGCTCACAGGACATATCGCCCATGAGCCATGAATCGCCGACTTTCGGGGCGATGCCGAAGCAAGAATGGATTTCGAGGAGCGTGACCCAGGTCGGTTGGCCACCTGCGGGACAGGCGACTTCTTCTCGTCAAGTTGGTACTGAATGTTTCCTTCAAGGTGCGAGCAATCGGCGAAGAACATCACATGTGGTCTCCCAAGTATGCAGTGGAGCACGTAAGGAGGCTGACGATGAGCAGTCAGTGTGATGATGACGCTCTTCCCTCAGTACCACGAAGTCATGAAGTATCTTCACCGACTCGACGATCGAGTTCGATTCCAGGTGCTCGGCCTCTCGACTTGTTTCAACGTGACGAGGCGGGCAGGGGATTCATGTGCTGCGATGGCTGTCGGGGGTGTTGATAGTGTCGGCCGGTTGCCTCTACCTGCTACGTGAAGACGTTCGGTATGCCTCTGCCAACCTCGCTCTCTGTCCCCCTGTTGATGTGTGTCCTCCATCAAGGTCTGGACTTGGGAAGGAAGGAGCAGAGGTGACGAGCAGGACGATACAGGACAAGAAAGTTCAGGTGAGGCCCTATACAGGCTCCTCCTCCTGTCTCACAGGGAGCCGATGCAGGTGGCTGCAGAGATTGTTGCGAAGGAAGTCGCACTCGAGCTCCTGCGCAGTCCGGTAGGAAGCATGCGAGGGCAGGAGCTGTAGTAGATGATGACGGGGATGGTGCAGGCAACGATCGACGGTGCTGCCAAGTTTGTACAGGTGGGTTTGCTCTCAGCTGTTCTTTGCCGATGTCTTGCCGTTGACCACCGCTTCGACTCCCTTGCTTCCCTTCCTTTCCCTGTCCCGCGCCATGTCGGAGTTCTGATCCTCTCCTCCATCAGGAAGTCCTAGCTCAACGGACCACACAAGATGCTGCGGGCAGGCTGATCGTGAATCTGTACAAGGTCGATGAAAGCTCCCCACTTGTCAAGGGCGGAGGAGACTGACAAGGAGCAAATTCAGGACGAGGAGATGCTAAAGTACACACAAGAATGGGTGTCAGTGATCGTTGGACGTCTTTGCAACGAGGAGTACACGCAGAAGAGTATTCAGGTGTGCGAGAAGAGGAGAAGGAGATTTCCTCCTCACGTTCTGCTCAGCACTTGCTCGGAGTTGCCTTCACCAACCTGTTTGCAGACAACGACTTCCAGAAGGTCAGAGTGTCTCAGTGCGCAACATGTCATTCTCATATGATCATCTTGTCACATCTTGTCATCTTGTCATCTTGTCACATCTTGTCATCTTGTCACATCTTTACATCATGTCTCTTGGATCTCATTCGTCTCTTGTCCTCATCTTGCGTTGCCCAGGTTGCCGGGAATTTTGCAGTAGATGTCATTGCGCAGGATCAAGTCATCCAACAAGCGACGTCGCTGCTCACGACTAGGTGAGGCGCAGGAGAATTGAAGAGAGGAGGAGGAGGAGAGGAGGAAGAGCTGGAGATGTAGTGGTGGGTGTAGTGGTGATGTTCAAACAGGAGGAGGGGGTACGAGGAGGAGGAGAGCAGGAGGAGGAGAGCAGGAGGAGGAGGAGGAGGAGAGCGAGGAGGAGGAGAGCGAGGAGGAGGAGGAGGAGGAGAGGAGGACGAGGAGAAGGAGGAACAGAGCAGGAGGATGACAGCACGAGGAGGAGCTGGAGGAAGAAGAAGGGAGGACAAGTGGAGGAGATGGAGGAGAAACCTGGACGAACAGAACATGGGGAGGGAGGGGGATGACCAGGAGGGAGGTGTGGGACTACTGGAAGGATCATGAACTGACTCTAACATCACCGACATGCCGCTCGACATCGGAGTGCTCGCCATCTTCATCTTCCTCGTGCGCGTCTTCGCTACGTCGCGCCCAAATAGCTCAAGCTCGTGACCTCATGAGCACTCCTACGTTAGCTTGGTTCACTT